ACAAAAATCTTTGCAAGATATATATCTGATAAAGGTTTACTACACAACATATATAAAGAATTCCTACAACTCAATAGCAAAAAAAAAAAATCCAAAAGTATGCAGAGGATCTGGACATTTTTCTGAAGATGACTGATGGCCAATAAGACTTGAAAAGATGTTCAACATCACTTATCAGGAAAATGCAAATCAAAACCACAATGAGACGTCACTTTACACCTGTCTGAATGACTATTATCAAAAAGACAAAAACAATTGTTGGCAAGGATGTAAGTGAAAGGAACCGGACCCCTTGTGCACTGTTGGTGAGAGTGTGAATTGGTGCAGTCGATATAAACAGCATGGAGTTTCCTTAAAATATTAAAAATAGTAACTCAAAAAAATATTTAATCCCCCCCCAGTCATTGCAGCATTATTTATAATAGCCAAGACATGGAACCAACAGAAGAGTTGGATGAATGAATAAAAAAAAAAATGGGGGTGTCTGGGCAGCTCAGTAAGTTGATCACCTGCCTTTGGTTCAGGTCATGATTCCTGGGTCCTGGGACCAAGCTCAGCATGGGCTCCCTGCTCAGCAGGGATCCTGCTTCTCCCTCTCCCTCTGCCACTTCCCTTGCTTAAGCACGTTAATAAAAATCTTTAAAAAAAAAAAAAAGAAAAAGAAAATATGGTGTATGTATATTTATATGATAGAATGGAATATTAGTCATTTTTTTAAAAAGGGCAATCTTTTTGAGAAAATCATTTGAAACAACATGGATAGACCTTGAGGGCATTAGGTTAAATGAAGTAAGTCAGACAGAGAAAGGCAGATACCATACCATCTCACTTACTGTGTGGAATCTAAAAAAAAAAAAAAACGAGAAAAAAACAGAAAAACTCTAAATCAATAGAGAATAGTGGTTGCCGGAGCTGGGACTGGGAAAAAGTAATGTGAAAAGGTAGTCAAAAAGGTACAAATTTCCAATTATAAAACAAATTTCTGGGGATACAATGCACAGCAAGGTAACTATAGTTAATACTGTATTGCATATTTGAAAGTTAAGAGTTAAGTCCTAAAATTTCTTATCACAAGGAAAAAAATTTTAAGTATCTGTGGGAATAGATGGTAACTAGGCTTATTGTGATGATCATCTCACAATATTTGCAAATATTGAATCATTCTATTACACACCTGAAATGTGTTCGATGTCAATTATATCTAAATGTTAAAAAATGGGCAAAGGGTCTGAATAGATATTTTTCTAAAGGTTTACAAATAGGCAACAGGTACATAAAAAGGTGTTCATTATCACTAATCATCAGGGAAGTAAAAAATCAAAACCACAAGGAGATGTTGCCTCACACGGTTAGAATGGCTGCTATCAAAAACGAAAGAGATAACAAGCATTGACCAAAGTGTGGAGAAAAGGGAACCCTTGTGCACCAATTCAGTGTTGGTGGGAATGTAAGTTAGTACAGCCACAATGGAAAGCAGCATGGAGATTCCTAAAAATATTAAAAATAGAACTACCACATGATCCAGCAATCTCACTCCTGGCTATAAGGAAATGAAATCACATCGCAAAGAGATATTTGGGGGCAACTGAGTGGCTCCGTTAAGCGTCTGTCTTTGGCTCAGATCATGCCTGGGATCAAGCCCCACTTTCGGCTCCCTGATCAGCAGGGAGTCTGCTCCTTCCTCTGCCTGCCACTGCCCCTGCTTGTGCTCTTGCTTTCTGACAAATTAAAAAGGGTGGGGGGAGAGAAAGAGAGAGAGATTTGCACCTCCAAGTTCATTGCAGCATTATCATAATAGTCAAGACATGGAAACAATCTTAAGTGTCCAGGAATGGATGAATTGATAAAGAAAATGTGATGCACGCGTGTGCACACACACACACACACACACACACACACACACACGAGTATTAATTGGCCACAATAAAGAAGGAAGTCCTGACATTTGCAATAACATGGATGGATCTTGAGGACATTATGCAAAGTGAAGTCAAATAGAGAAGGACAAACAGATGATCTCACTTCTGTGTGGAACCTAAAGTAACTGAATTCATAGAATGAGTAGACTGGTGGTTGCCAGGGATGACGGGTAGAGGAATGATGGACAACAGGTAACCGGTTCCAGCTGGAAGGTGAATGAAGTCTGGAGATGGCATATACAGCATGGTGCCATAGTTAATACTATATTGTATATTTGAAAGTTGTTAGGAGTGGATTTGAAATGTTCTCACTACAAAACACCCAAATACAAAAATACAAATGGTAACTAGGTGAGGTGGTAAACATATTACCGCAATTACTTCTCAATATGCACATATATCAAATGATCATGTTGTACCTCTCAAACTTACCCAATGTTATAGGTCAAGCATATCTCAGTAAAGTTGGGAAAAATAAGATACAAAATACTCTGGCAAAAAAGTAATGTTCATTGAATGAGTCGAGAACAGACTGGGGGTTCTGTCCCAGGTCAGCTTCAGGGCTGGCTTAGTGAAATGAAGGAAGTGGCAACTTGGACAATGCTAGGAGGCGGAGGTATGCCCCAAACAGGTGGAAGAAAGTTCCCAGGAGAATGGGCTCTGCTTTGCTGCTCTGAAGACTGGGCCAGATCCCAGAGTCTACCTGATCAGCCTCTACCAGGGGACACCCAAGGACACCCCCGGTCTTGGTTTTGGGTGGCCTTCCAGGTCAGTGATGGCCTATTGGCAGGGGAAAAACCCTAATGTCCATCTACCCTGGACTGAAAAATCCCAGAGTACAGGTTTTTCAATTTGACAGAGGGAGAGAGAGAAGCAGGCTACTGGCTGAGGAGAGCAGGGATGCAGGGCTCGATCCCAGGACCCTGGGACATTTCAACCGACTGAGCCACCCAAGTACCCCCTGGAATACAGGTATTAACATGATTTCGTAAAGGAAGAAAATGCAGTGTAAGAGTCCACTAACTTGCCCAAGGCCCTACAACTAAAAGCTACTGGAATAGGAATTCCTCTTGCCATTCTCTTAGGCTCTACACTACACTGCCTAACTTAATGGCCCTAAGACTCCATTTCCTTTTCCTAAGACCAGAACCATCGATGCTTCCCAGCTCACAATGTCTGGGGAAATTCAGTGGTAGAACGAACAGAAACGGGAGAGCCCGGCACGCAGTAAGGGTGCAGGAAATAACGGGTGTTGTTTCTCCCTCACTAGTCTCAGATCCTCCTTCAGGCACTCAGCTCTCACCCAGGGAGGACTTGCATTACAGAACAAACAGAGGGATGATGGAGGGAGCTGGGCGGGGGATGAGCGAGGTGGGTGACAGGGATGAAGGAGGGTACTTGTTGGGACGAGCACTGGGTGTTCTGTGTAAGTGATGAATCACTAAATCCTACACCTGAAACCAACTTTACCATACATGTTAACCAACTAGATTTACATAAAAACAAAAAACAAAACAAAAAAAGGACTTTCAGTGTTATCACTGAATCCTAGAATAAACTACTCAGACCAGTGGTGGAGGGGGAGGAAATCACATGTGACCTTGGAAAAGGTCTTCCACTCTGGACCTGTTGGGTCAGTGGCAGGAAGGTGCTCTGGATGTTTGCCCATAAGAGTTAGGAGATTAAGGAACAGGAGGAAGCATGGAGGCAGCCCAGTGCCTGCCTAGTGACAGGCACACAAGAAACTGCAGCCTCCCCTTACTCCAGTCAGTGACCTTGATCATGGTGGTGGAGGAGGGCAGGAATTCTACCTTGATTTCACTAGAATAAGGGAATTAATACGATTACTTTACACAGCTACTAAAGATGAAAGACTGTTGAAGGAACTTGGGCGGGTTAGTCTAGAGGACACAGGGTTTATAAACCCAACTAACTGGGTGCTGACACCTTTTAAATGCAGGACTTCCCGGGGATCAAGAGAGGCCCAACCCCTTTTCATCTGATAAGGTTTCTGTTATATTAAAGGGGGAAAAATGTTGAGGTTTTGGCTATATAAATGGGAAAAATCTTTTTTAAAGGAAAAATATTGTGTTAAAAAATACTAAATCGGGGTTATAAATACTAGTGTTGGATTTAACAAATGTTACCACACAAAACTAAAGCTAATATAATTGCGCAGGTCCTAGGGCAACTACTAGATTTATGTATTTCTGGAAGATCTTAACTCGCAGAGCACTGCAGGCAGGCACCGGTAACGGGACACAAACGTTTTTCGGTCCTGTCGGGGCACCTACTTTGAGAAAAGGTCAGCTTTTTGAGCTTGAGGGCGCATCTGCGTGGAATTGGGTCTCTCACCCCCTCTCCCCCCACCTCACACGACAGGCCCATTGGAAGGGGGGCCGGACATTCCACAAGTCGCGGAGTCAGAATGCGGCCATGGAGCGGACACTTGGAGAGAGGTTTCTCCTCAGGGCGTTCTCCTCCCCCCATTCGCCTTCCCCCACTCGCCCCCCCCGCCCCCGCCCCCCCCCCCACCTCCCCATTCCCACCCTGAGATGATGGGGCAGGGTGGGAAGTAGTTACAGGGTTGGCCCATGGGCAGGACATTTATGTAGCTATAGCAACCATTTTAAACTTTTGTGGGTTCTGATGAAAAATTAAAAAAAAAAAAAAAAACCTAGAATCTTCTCCCCAGAAGATTTCGCTCTCCCCACGCACGCACCCACCCAGCCACCCACGCAGCAGGATTTTCCCGCCAAGGAGCCGGGAGAGGTCCATATCCCGGGGTGGCCCCCAGCGAGCGTGTACTCCGCCCCAGGCCCCACCTGGCCACTGGGAGGCGGGCTCCCCGGCAGGCCCGGGGCCGCTGCGGCTCTGCCGGAGCTGGGCGGGGCTTGGGGGCGGTGTGGCCCGGGGCCCGCCCCACCTGCGGACGCCGGGGGCGGCGCGGCCACCGCCGGGGCCACCGCTCCGGGGCTCCGACACTAGACCGCGCTGCTGCAGACCCGCGGCGCAACTGCTCCCGGAGCCCGGACTCGCCGCCACTGCCGCGGCTCGGTTTGCCCCCGCTGTTCCGGGCCGCCGCCGTGGCCATGAAGATGCACTTCTGTATCCCGGTGTCCCAGCAGCGGCTGGACCCGCTGGGAGGCCGCTACGTGGTGCGCCTGGCGGGGGGGTGGGGTCAGGGTCCGACTCGGCTGGGGAAGGTCGGTGACCTGGCGGGGCGGGGGGCTCACTTGCTCGCTCAGCTAACCCGGGACGGTCTGTCTCTGTTGCAGCTGTATTCGGTGTACCTGGACGGGTACCTCTTCTGCAGGGTGCGCTACAGCCAATTGCGTCGTTGGAACGAACAGGTGAGCAGGTTCGAGGCAGCTGAGTGCGCCCCAAGACACTGGACTTCTTGAGGACTCCAAGTTCCTAGTCTGTAATTTGTTATCGCTTGGCGTACCTCTCCGTGTATATAGGCTGCTGCTCCTAACCATCTACAGTTGGGAGATGAGGGAATCGGGCTCAGGTCCTTCTCCTAAACCCTTTCCAGTCCAATGATCCCCAGCGGCCCCACCTGGCAGGGTGCTGGGAGATGGTGGGCCCCATTCCAGTGCCAGCTGTTTCCCCAGGACAATGTCCCCATTCAGAATGAGCATACTCAGCTGAGACCAAGGTGCCTTAGGAATCTTGTACATAGGTATTTAATCTTTCTCCCAGAGTTTCTTAGGCTTCTTTAAAAAGGTGTGTCTATTTTGTTTTCAAAAATTGTATTTATAGGCTTCAAGTACTGGCAGGCTGGAAACCTGGGAAACAGATGAATTATCAAGACAGGAGGCCATTTCCCACTATAGTTTCTCACTCAGATGTGCTGGTGGCATTTTCTTTGGGAGGCAGCCTGATTTATTAATGTGCTCTAATGGGTTTTATTGTCCTAATAAGGAAGTGTTATAAGTCTTCAAAATGGGTTAGAGGATTAAAAGAAAGCTCAGAAATAAACTTCACCCTCCCTCTACCTCCCTGCATAGTGTTTTCTTTTTAATCAATTCTTTTTTAGATTATATACCCTGATTTTAAAGAGAATATACCTAAAATTAGAAAGAAAGGGGAGCCTGGTTACCTCTGTGGGAAGAGCATGTGACTTGATCTCGGGGTCCCGAGTTTGAGCCTCAGGTTGGGTGCAGAGATTACTTCAAAAATTAAACTCAAAACAAAACCGAGAAACAGACTTGTCCAGGCTATTAACATTTTTGGGAGAATCCTTCCAGGAAATCTGGGTTTCTAGTAAGTCGATACACCTTCTGTTGAAGGGCAGCTGTCAATTTCATTTTTTCACTATTGCAAACATTGCAGTAAACCTTCTTGCTCATATTAGAGGGCATTGGAAAAGTCCATTTTCAAGGTATGATTACATTTCTTTGGAGTCAACCAAAAACAGGTGCAATGCACTTTTGTGTGGTCCTGTCTGAATTGCTAACACCTGCTGCAGTTGCCCCAGAAGGTTCTCAGGAATGATGGTGGTCTGATTCAATAAGGAAGGGCATGGATTCCGTCTTCGGCAAGATGAGAAGCTACTTGTGACCAAAACATGTCTGGGGATTTGAGAGGACTTAAGGAAAGAGAAAGTATAGGTGTGTTATGTATTTGGAAGAGAAGGTTGAGGCATCATCTCCCCCACTAATCTGTCTTCTCCAATGTGAGGTGGGGTTGGGGAGGTTGCCATTCACAGCACGTAAAGCACGAGACAGCAATGGGGAGCGGGGGCGGGGGGGTTGTGGAATTGACTACTCCCTGGCTCGTCACCTTACCTCCTCTCTGACCTTCAATTTTTTTCACCAAAAATAAAAAGAAAATAGGTGGCCATGGGTGTCCACTTTCCAGGGTAATTGTAAAGAGTATGGGCCAGTTTCTCCCAGAACCTGGGACATGGTACGTGCTCAGTAAACATTTAGGGACCGAGAGTCTTGAAGTCCTGAATCTGGCCCTTCTTAACCAACAGACTCAGAAAAATGCTTGTTTTCAGAAAAATTAAGACCTATCGAATCTTAGCAGGTTCAGAAGCAGAGACATAAAGTGAGTAAACTTTTACTCTAGATCTTCTATTTTGGAAACCATTAACAACAAACTGTTATTCACTTTTTTTTTTTTAAGATTTTATTTATTTGTCAGGGAGAGAGAGTGCATAGCAGGGGGAGCAGCAGGCAGAGGGGAAGCAGGCAAGGAGCCTGATGCCAGGCTCGATCCCAGGACCCCGGGATCATGACCTGAGTGGAAGGTACATAGTTAACCGACTGAGTCACCCAGGCATCCTTTTTTTTTTTTTTTTTAAGATTTATTTATTTGAGGGAGAAAGGGGTGCCTGTGGTGGGATGGACAGAGGGAGAGAATCTCAAGCAGACTGCCCATTGAGCATGGGGGGCTCAGTCTCAGGACCCAGAAGATCATGACCAGAGGCAAAACCAGGAGTTGGACGCTTAACTGACTGAGCCACCCAGGTGCCCCATTTCAGTGGACTTTTAAATATTGAATTGCCATAGCCTGGTGCTCAACATGGGGTATAGTATAGATATTAATACTTCATATTAAGGGGCACCTGGGTGGCTCAGTCAGTTAAGCACCTGCCTTCGGCTCAGGTCGTGATCTCAGGGTCCTGGGATCGAGCCCCATATTGGGCTCCCTGCCCAACAGAGAGTCTCCTTCTCCTCTCTGACCCTCCTCCCCCACCCTCTCTCTCTGTCTCAAATAAATAAACAAAAATAAAAATTATTATTTAAAAAATACTTAATATTTGTCTCAAATTTTTCAAAATCCTAAAGTAGAGATTTCTTTACACAGTTTCCAACTATCTTACATCTTGTACTTAGCATTTTTCTCCTTTCAGTAGGAACAACTTCATTTTAAAGAAACTATTTAGAATTTAGGTGGTTATTTGCATTGTTAACTTAAAACCACAACAAGTAGTAACTGTGTGTTAAGGTTGGTGCTGAGAGCTTTACATGTAATATCATGTTAAATTTTTATAGTAGTTCTATGAGCGAGGATTATAATTAGCCTCATTTAACAGAGGAAAACCTCTGAGGCACACCTTGCCCCAAATCAAACTGCTAGTAAGTATTGTTGTCAAGATTTGATCTCCAGAACCTGCTCTGGCCCCTTATATTTTGTGGTTTCTTACTGAAGTCAACAAAATAAATTGTATCAGTAAAACAATTGGGTCCTAAAGTAACAAACTTTTACTCTCTTTTGTAATAACATAAAATTTCCCAATTTTAGGTGTTCAGTGTGGTGAATTTTGTTAAGTGTATACACTACTACCACCATAATCAGGATAAAGAAAATTTTGCCCTCTAAAAGTTCCCTTTTCCACTTTGCCCTTGATCCTCTCCCTCCACTTCTGACCCCAGGGAACAGAAAGCTCTACTTTCTGTCTGAGTTCTGGGCCCAGGATTTTATCGACTGCCCAGCCAGCCTCTGTGGGGTCCACAGTAAGCTCATCAGCATGACTCCCATCTTGTATGTAGTCTGAGTAAGGTTGTCGGATTCAGCAAGTAAAAACACAGGCTCCCCAGTTCAATGTGAATTTCAGATAAGCAGCCAAGAAGTTTTTAGGTAAGTAGATTCGTGCAGTATCTGGGACATACTTAACCGGGCATCCTGTGTTTTGTCTGGCAACCCTGAGTCTGAGAAAATCTAGGGGACTCCTCTCAGGCACTTCTCAGCTAGATCTTACTCTTCTATTCCACTGAAGATTTGCAAATGGCTCAGAATTCTTACTTACTACAAAACGCTTTTAAAGAGGAAACCATAAAAGGCCCCATCCGTGTGTGCATTGGAGTATGTTTCTTAGGAAGTTCTGTATCCTGATAGAACAAATATGTCATCTTAGAGAATTAACTGATTTATTTAAGAAATATTTACTAAGTTCCTATTAGATGGCATGCACTGTGGTATATTACATGCAGATGGAACTTCAGGACATGTGATTTTTTTTTAAGATCTTATTTGAGACAGAGAGTGTGTGTTTGAGAGAGAGAGCACAAGTCAGGGAGCGGGAGCAGGAGAGGGAAAAGCAGGCTTCCCGCTGAGCCACCCAGGTGCCCCATTTCAGTAGACTCTTAAATACTGAATTGTCACAGCCTGATGCCCAATGTGAGGTATAGAGTATATATTAATACTTCATATTTGGGGATGCCTGGGAGGCTCAGGTCATGATCTCAGGGTCCCGGGATCAAGCCCCACATTGGGCTCCCTGCCTAGCAGAGAGTCTGCTTCTCCTCTCTCTCTCTCATCCTCCTCCCCACTCTCTCAGTCTCAAATAAAAAAGTAAAAATAAAAATAGTTACTAAAAAATACTTCATATTTGTCTCAAATTTTTCAAAATCCAAAAATAGAGATTTCTTTATGCAATTTCCAACTATCTTAAATCTTGTACTTAACATTTTTCCTCTTTCAGTAGAAACAACTTCATTTTAAAGAAACTGTTTAGAACTTAGGTGGCTATTTGCATCTCAAGCCTCACCTCCCCTGGGAAGTCCTCCTTGATTGCATGAGATGCCTTTCTCTGATTCCTGGGTCACTTCATGTTTAGACCTTGTCACATTCCTCCTTTTGTGTATATATTTGCCTTCCCCAGGTTAGTTATAAAAGCCAAATATTTATATGAAGGAATGAATGAAGGCTGTGAGTATGGTATACCCAGCATGGACTCCTTCTTTACTAGATGCTCAACAGAGATTTGGTGAAGGAGAAGAAGGAAAAATGAGAGAGAGAAGGGAAAAGTAATGAAAATCTGCCATTCCTTAGTTTATAGGACCTTGGATCTCCCTGAGCTTCAGGTTACTGTGATTGTAGTGTAGATTTGATGTGAAGGTGGAAGGATGACGTGTTGATGGTAGCAATGATCGTCTACCCCACAGGACTATTTTGAGGACCAAATGGAAGAATACGCAAGTTCCAGGCTAATGTTCTTTGGTGCCAGATGCCACAGTCTGGATTGCTTTGTGCTGTGATCCTTTATCTGGTGACTCTGGGGTTTTGATTCAAAGGGGCCCTGGAGAGGTGGGATGGATAAGTCAGTATTAGAAAGGACACTATATGTGTCTGTAATTCCACTTGTCCCAGGTCACCACTGTGGGGTAAGCATGGGGGGCTGGGAGTGCATAAGGCAGGGAAGGAGAGGCTATTTTCCATTGGCCAATAAAGTCCTCTTCATGTTAAAAAGCAGAACTGTCTGATGGAGAAATGCAGGAGATTGTGCTAGGATTAAAAATATATATTATCTAAACATGGCCTTTCAAAAACAAGCAAAAACTCCAAACAAACAATACCTTACATAATAAACAAAAGAGGTGTGCTTTCCTTTGGAGAACTTTGAAGAATCTTTAAAATGAGTCTTTGGGCTAAACTCAAATACCAGGTAATTCTTAGCATGCTGTTGGTTTTAATGGCTAAACTGTGTGCTGAGACCAGTAGAAAAGGTCATATTTTGCTGGAGTTGAAGAACTTGGGGTCTCCATGATTGATGTTTGGCAGGTGTAACTACTCAGTTTATTACATGTTTATCTTCTGCCTTAAACCAGTATTAGAGAAGGCAGGGGAAAGATTCATTGGGAAGTGAGCTCAGGTTGTAAAACCGGCTGGGAGAGTTTGGGCTGTGTTGGGTATTTGAACCTTAAGCCCTGGTGACTTTTCCCCTAGCTCTTGGACTTATGGGAGGGGCTTCCCCAATATGCTTTCCTGCCCATGGAAAACACGGATGGCTCTGGTGGCTCAAGGCTGCTGTGATTCAAACCAATTTGGGAACATCTTCGATATTTATGAACGCATGCCTAGGAAGACAGTTGCCTTCTAAAGATCGCTTAATCCATGGATCAAGAAATAGTCACATGCAGAGAAGACACTTTTCTGCTCCTATTTCATTGAGTTAACAGAGATGGGATACATAAATCCCCGGTTGTTTGAGCAGCCTTGCCTGGTGTGATGCTCCAACTGGGGTGTCTTTGGACAGTGTTTAACATAACACAAAAATTGCCTTGAATTAAAAAAAATTGTTGCTGTAACATTTTATGCTAACAGATTTAAGGGAGGACAGGATGCAAACTTCAATGGCTATAGGGGTCGGGCAGGTAATTGAAATGAGAGGTGGGTGCCAGGTGAGAGGCAATAGGGACTGGTGGAAACTGCTTAGGCCTCCTCTAAAGGGGATGATTACCCGAGGATTGTGAACCCAGTGATTCCAGAACCTCTGATTTTTCAAGAAGCCAGAGCATCAGGGTTTTGTTGTTTTGTTTTGTTTTCAATAAACTTTATTTTGGTGGATCAGCTTTAGATTTACAGAATAATTGCAAAGACAGTACCGAGAGTTCCCATTTATTCCCTCACCGAGTTTGCCCTGTTGTTTTCCATTAGTAGGGAACGTTTGTTACAGTTAATGAACCAATATTAACACACTATGATGAACTATAGACCACAGTTCAGTTCCATTTCTTTAGTGTTAACCTGATGTCCTATGGCTGCCCCAGAATCCCATCTAGGACCCCACATTACGTTTAGTTGTCTGCCTACTCTCTTGACTGTGTCAATTTCACAGACTTTCGTTGTTTTTAATGACCTTTTTGAGGTGCGCTTGTCAGTTATTTTGTGAGATGTCCCTCTGTTAGAATCCGAGGTCTTTCACGTGATCAGGCTGGGGTTATGGAAAACCACAGAGGTCCATGTCGTCCTAATCACATCACAGAAGAGCATCTGCATCAACGTGACTTACCACGGTTGATGCCTTGATCACCTGGCCGAGGCTGTGTTTGTCAGGTTTGACCATGGTGAAGTTGCTCTTCTTCCTCCCTTTCCCAAAGTGTACCCTATGGGAGGCAGTCAGTCTGGGCAGTCCGCACTGTGGGGATGAATGCTCTGTGTCCTTGTGGAATGAAGATAGACAGAAATTATTCAGGATTCTTCATAGATTTTTCTCTTCTCTCCTACATATTTATTCAGTAATTGATAGCTGCATAGACTTCTGGATATTTACTTTAGACTTTGGGTTATACTTTGATACTGCTTTATTTTGTTATGTTAGCTGTCCCAGCTTCAACGGAAGCACCTTCAAGTTTGCTCCTGGAACTCTTTCACATGGGCCCACTGTTGATTTTGTTGTTGTTGTTGTTGTTTTGAGCACTTTCTTGTTTTCTGGTACTATAAGATGCCCCAAATGCCTCTTCTGTATCTCCTGCGTCAGTCCTAAAAATCAACTATTTTCTTCATGGAACCCTGGTTGCTTTAGTTGGGGAATGGTTAAGAGAAACCAAGATCTTGGACTAGGTATGTTCATTGCTACTATTGTATTATTGCTTCCAGGCCCTCTCAGCTGACAGAGCAAGGAAATATGTGTATACACGTAGCTATAACTATCTTTATATGTAACCATCTGTGTCTATGTTAAGCTAAACATGAGTTCATATCAAGATCTCCAAATATAATCCATCACCACAAGGCTCATTCCAGCCCACTCCCCTTGCTAATATGAAAACTCTCACTTCAGTAATGAAAAACCTGATTCCCATCACTTATCATCTATTTACTTAACGTATCTCGCCTATAGGCAGGCATTTACTAACTTTTCTAGCTCTTGGACCAGTGCTGTCCAATAGAACTTTCTGTGCTCATGGAAATGCTCTATGTTTGCTTTGTCTAATTCAGTAGCAGCTTGCCACAAATACTGTTGAGTGTTTGAAATGTGGCTAGTACAACTGAGGAACTGAATTTAAAATTTTATTTCATTTTAATTTATTTAAGTGTAAGTAGTCACAGGCGGCTAGTGGACATCCTGTTGAATGGCATAGTTCTCAGCCATTGCAAAGATATTGGCTTTTCCTTGAGTAAGATAGGAAGCCATGAAGGATTTTGAGAAGCAATGGATTGATCTAGCTTACCTTTTTAGAAAGTTACCTTAGATGCTGTATTAAGAATAAACTGAAGGGGGCAAGGGCAGAAGCAGAAAGTTCTGTTATAAAGCTGTTGGAGCAATGAGGCAAAGAGACGACAGTGTTTTGGACCAGGATGATTACAGTAGGGGTGGAGAGAATTGGTAAGTTGTTGTGGTTTTTTATTTTATTTTACTTGAAAGAGAGGGAGAGACAGCATGAAGAGGGGCAGGAGGCAGAGGGAGAAGGAGAAGCAGACCCCCTACTGAGCAGCCCCCCCCCCCATGTGGGGCTCCATCCTTGGACTCTGAGATCGTGACCTGAGCCAAAGGCAGACACTTAACTGACTGAGCCACCCAGGGGTCCTGAGAGCTGGTAAGATTCTTGATGTATTTTAGAGCTAAGGCCTATGCAAGGTAAATATTCACCGGATACACACTGTGTTTGTGACAAAGGCCATGGAATTAAAATTCCTGCCTGTTTGTTTCTCTTAAATCTGTTCTCATTTCCTTTAAGCCACTGACTATGAAACTAAAACTAAGAGTTTTAGTCCTTCTCCCGAGGCACCGTGTTAAACCCTGATTTCTGGCTAGTTTCCTTTCTCATATTTTATTTTATTTTTCATTTATTTTTAAGATTTCCTTATTTCAGAGAGGGTGGGCAGGGACAGAGAGAGGGAGAATCCAGCAGCCTGAGTGTGGAACCCAACATGCGGCTCCATCTCCAACCCTGCGATCATGACCTGAGCCAAAGTCAAGAGTCAGAGGCTTAACCCATCCAGCCACCCAGGCGCCCCCTCTTTCTCTTACTTTAAAGAGAATGATGTCGTGCCTTATCTTCAAGCTGCTACTGTAAGTGTAGGGCTGAAATGAAGGAAGATGCACTTTTGATCATCTAAATTTAAAACATATTTTTGACATATCCACTATTTAGCTTGCATAAAAATAACTGCCACCTTGGTCTTATGTCAATATTTGGGTGGGTGGAAGCCTGGAAAGGGCCTCACTGGGTTTCTACAGGGATTATATGTCAGCCTTATAGGAATTTTACAAGCCAGCACTGTCCTATAGAAATATAATGTGAGCCATATATATAATTTAAAATTTTCTGGTAACCCAATTAAACAGTATGAAAAGAAACAGGTAAAATTAATTTTAATTAGTGGATCTAAAATATTACCATTTCAACATATAATCAATATAAGGAGTTATTAGTGAAACATTTTACTTTTTTTTTCCTCTGTACTAAGTTTGGCAGTCTGGAGTGTATTTCATACCGATGGCATATCTCAAGTCGGACTAGCCATATTCCCAGGGCTCATTAGCTCTAGCTAGGGGATACCTTCTCAGATAGCATGCTGTAAACGTCTGTGATGTTCAGACTTGGTAGAGGTGGGATGGGGAATTAAATCCCTAACTATGCTCATTGGTATCACAGATACTATAGGAGAATGAGTTAAAGAAACATTGTATGGTATGAATGGTGGGCACTCTTGCAAAAACAAATGAAAAATTAAAAGGTACCCCAAATCTACCAAACTCAGACTCGAGAGGTCATTCTGTAGTATGTCTAAGAGTATCCCCAGAAACCTATCTTGAAATAAACTTCTTAGGAAAACCAAAGCATCCCCTTTTCCTCCTTGTGGCCACCAGGAAGGGTTAGTTTTTAATTAAGTACTAGAATGAGACTTGCCCAAAGAGGGGAGGCTTTGGTGTCTCATCAACATTGAATTAGGGGTTCTTTGCATTAACTGTGTGTTTTCTGGATTTCAGCTGAGGCGGGTCTTTGGAAATTGCCTGCCACCCTTTCCACCAAAGTACTATCTTGCAATGACCACATCCATGGCTGATGAGAGGAGAGACCAGTTGGAACAATATTTGCAGAATGGTAGGTATTTGGATTTTGTTTTTACAGATTTATTGAGATATAGATCATAGACTGTAAAATTCACACATTTAAAGTGTGCAGTTTGGAGGCGCCTGGGTGACTCAGTGGGTTAAGCCTCTGCCTTCAGCTCAGGTCATGATCTCAGGGTCCTGGGATCAAGCCCCGCATTGGACTCTCTGCTCAGGGGGGAGCCTGCTTCCCTCTCTCCCTCTCTCTGCCTGCCTCTCTGCCTACTTGTGATCTCTGTCTGTCAAATAAATAAATAAATAGAATCTTAAAAAAAAAATTAAGTGTGCAGTTTGGGGTACCTGGGTGGCTCAGTTGGTTAAGTATCTGCCTTTGGCTCAGGTCATGATCTAGGTCCTGGGATCGAGCCCCATGTCCAGCTCCCTGCTCAGCGGAGGACCCTGCTTCTGCCCCACCCCCCGCATGCTTCTCTCAGTTGCGCTCTCTCTCATATAAATAAATTAAATCTTTTTTTTAAAGTGTGCAATTCAATGGTTTTTAGAGTATTTACAGAATTGTGCAACCATCCACCATAATCTGAGAATATTTTTGTAACCCTAAAAGGAAACCTTACACCTATTATCAGTCACTCCTTATTCCTCTCTCCCACATGCCTCTATCACCATCTATATTAATTTCTGTCTTACTAGATTTGCTTGTTCTGAATATTTTATATAAATGAAACACACAAAATATGGCCTTTGTATTTGGTTTTAAAAATATTCTGCTTTCACATTTGCTTTTGGGTGCCGTATGTTAGCATTGATTATAGAAGTCAAAGACCTATTCCCTGGATCGAGACTGAAATGGAGGGATGAGATGAACTGTCTTCCTGAAAGCTCTCAGGAAATACTAGAGATGCATTTCCATCTCCATCCTCCCCAGGGAGCCTCCCAGGTCTGCTCTGACCCTGGTGAGGCTTGAAGTACCCTGGTCCTTGCCCCTTGCTTGCACTCTGCAAATGTGCACAGCAAAACTGTGGTTGGCAAAATCAAGCATGCTCAGAAAGGGGGTTTGGGAGAAATCGCAAAATTGGCATTCGAGTATTTAAAAAGATTTTGAAATGGGGCAATAGTATGTACATGAAATATTTTAAAACTAGAACTGTCTCAAGAGTATACAATGAAAGGTCCATTCCCTTCCATCCCAGTACCATCCCCTGCCCACCCCTAGACCTCTAGAAGTAAACACAATGGCTTATATATTCCTTGGAAATAATTTCTGTGTCTACTAGTGTGTATGCACATCCCTGTTTGTTAAACACAAACTGGAAGGTACCCTGTATACTTTCTGGTACCTGATTCTTTTTTTTTATATTAAAGATTTTATTACTTTTTTTTAAAGATTTCATTTATTTATTTGTCAGAGAGAGAGAGAGAGAGAGCACACAAGCAGAGGCAGAGGGAGAAGCAGGCTCCCTGCCAAGCAAGCAGCCTGATGTGGGACTCGATCCCAGGATGCTGGGATCATAACCTGAGCCAAAGGCAGCCACTTAATCGACTGAGCCATCCAGGCATCCCTTGGTACCTGATTCTTAAAAACTTTATTCTGAAAGAATTTCTGACTTACAAAACAGGTGCAGAAATAATGCAATGAATTTCTGTATAGTCTTCACCCAGATTTCCCAAATGTGAACATTTTATATTTGCTTTATCATCCTCTCAATTTTGTGGTATGCGTGTATTATATATATATATAACTTTTTGAGAGGCCTGTGTTAAATACACAAGCCACTTTCCCCTTAAATACTTCTGTGTGTATTCCCTAAGATCAAGGACATTCTCACTGACAACCTCAGTGTAGTTATCAAAAGCAGGCAATTAACACTGATATAATAATGTTATCTAATCTAGAGACCTTTGTCAAACTACACCAACTAACCCACTGATACCCTTCATACACAAGAAAAAAACATTTTTTCTTCTATAAGTTGATTTCCCCTCTTAAAAATCTATATTTTACAGACCATTATAGATTTAATTCATTACCTCTCATGGTGGCACTTGTTTCCTTAAAGATAGTCAGTAAAAATTCTAGAAGTCATCTATTTCCCATTCATCTCTTGTAATGAAGAATATACCTCTTTTAGACCTGTTAGATAAGCCCTTTCAAACTAAAAAATGTAGTATCTGTTGAATTTTTCTTCTCTCTTGGTTTGATATCTCATATCTGAGGGAAATAACTCCTTTAACTACTGGCCTTTCTGCAAATGATCACAGAGCCTACAGGATTGTTTTTCCAGGCCTGGCCTTTGTGCACAACATGGGGCTGTCTCCTGCCTCTTCTTCAGGCAAGGCAGAGCAAGGAGAGAGCGGAGCTTGGTGTTGGGACTAAGACATGGGTTCCAGAGTCAGACCCAGAGTCAAATCCTAGCTTTGCAATTTCACTGGCTGTATGACCTTGGGCAAGACATTTACCCTCTTTAAGCTTTAGTGTCTATCTGTAAAATAGAGATAATATTTACCCTAGGGTTCGTTGTGAAGATTAAATGAACTAAAATATACAAAGTGCTTAGCAATGTACCTGGTTCTTAATAGTTGCACAGTAAGTACTAATTGGATGAACATTTTTTTTTAACAGCTTTCCCCATCTCCAAGAATCCATGCTAACAATTATGTTAATTTGCATATCTACCACATGGATTCCAGAAAATAAGACAGGGCTCCCCACACCCCGAAATCATCTCCCTTAAAAAAAGAGGGAATACCTTTTATAAAAAGTTTCTCGTAATACTGGAGATCTTCTTTTCATTATTTTCTTTTGAAAAAATGTTGCATTTTTTGGGAAAGATACATCTTTTTTTTTTTTTTAAGATCTTATTTATTTATTTGAGAGAGAGAGTGAGAGAGAGCATGAGAGGGGAAAAGGTCAGAGAGAGAAGTAGACTCCCCATGGAGCTGGGAGCCTGATGTGGGACTCAATCCCAGGACTCCAGGATCATGACCTGAGCCAAAGGCAGTCACCTAACCAACTGAGCCACCCAGGTGCCACAGGGAAGATGCATCTTGAAATGACTTTGCCAGTGCTAGTTTTGAGTGCTAGTAGAAGTGACAGTGAGGCAATCAATTGTAACAGCAACAAAGAAAGAAGGAAAGGAAAGGAAAAAGGGAAGGGAAGAAGGAAGGAGCGAGGTAAGGAAGGAAGGAAAGAAAGAAACAGAAAGAAAAAAGAAAAAGGGAGGGAGGGAGGAAGAAAGGAAAAGGTATGGTGGGGGTAGGGGGGCAGGGTGGGAAGGGAAGGGAAAGAGAAAGACATTTGCTACCAATTTAGTAAGCATGCAAGTTTGGTTAGACTGCAGGGTCCAGGACAGGCCTTACAGGGAAAAGGGTAAGAAATGAGACAGCAGGCTGGGGAGCACCTCCTGCAGGAGTTTGAACTTCTCACGGGAAAGCTTCTGCCCCTCTGCTTTGACCACAGCACCCGAATATTGGTATCTGAGCTTTAAAAACTATGAAGGTGAATACTCTTACAGGTATAGAAGAATAGAAACCTTGAAATCTCTTGGACAGTCTTCTAATCACTTCTCTGGGGATAATCTCTTGAGAGCGCCTATCCATAAGCGAGGTACTCGGAATCAGGGTTTCTTGGTTGATTTCAAATTTTCAAATTGAGAAATGTCTTGCTGAAGTAGGAGTCCAGATCCAAGTTTTAAGATCTTTTTGCCTTTTCCCATTAATTTCATCCTCACCCCGGCAGGGCAGCAAGCTGTATAGTGAGTAATACAGGGATATGGGAATAAAGTGGGACTCCTGGAATGGATATAATGGGTTTGTGTTGCTGTCGAGGCTGCCTGGAGGAGGCAAGCTTTGTGGATATGCATGTATTTGACAGGTCTTAGCTCGGTTGCCCGAGGAGGCAGAGGTGCACCGGGAGGGCCTTCAGGGCTCCCTAGAGGACAGAGCAATTTAACAGAGAAGTCAACTCAGCCCCATGCTAATCTGACTCACCATCCATATTTTTCAGTAACTGTGGACCCAAACATGTTGAGAAGTGACATTTTCATTGACTTTCTAAAATTCGTACAGCTGGTAAGCATGCTCTTCTTTACCAAGGTCATTATTTTGCTGCTGAACATGTCTCTTAATTACCATGTGAGTGTTTCTGTCCATAGACCCCACAATGGATAAAATAAATTCATTTGGAGTAATTGGAGAATGGTTCCTATTTTAGCTTTTTTTTTGGTGGGGGAGGTTTAGATTCTAGAAGGAAAGTAAGCATGTCACTTGACCTTTGAACTTAATTAAGCAGATACTTTTTAATCCTGTAGACTAAGTATCGTACATCTCAAAACTGACCATGGGGAAGAGAACCTTTTATTATTAAGGGCGCCACAACAATTCGGGGACCTTCCTTCTGTAGCAGGGATCCAGTGTGCCATAGTGAAGACATCGAGACAATAGTAGGAGCTGGACCAACTGTTCCTTGTATAGTCTCTGCTCCTGACTTTGTTGAAAATGGATCACAGAGAAAATTCATTGTGAACAGAATGGCAGAGCAACTCCCTTTCCTTTGTTGGTCTACAGAACCACTGGCCACTTGCCTGTAGAGGCTGGACGTTTGCCCAGTAGGCTTGGTTAGCACACTGCTCATTCTCGTTGTACATGGGGGAACATTTTTATGCCTACGAGTATGTTCTTGACTGAATGGAAAGCTTTGTGAAGATTGAAGTCATAAGAATAACATGATTTTTTGAACTGGATCCCTAGCTAGGGGAGGAATGATACTTTGATGGGTTTGTAAAAAATGGAAGCAAATTTCATTTATTCAGTGGGTCAACCATGTTGGTATAGTAACTGGTCCATTCAACATGAGAAATGACCCTGGAGTCTCCCATTGTGTCACCATTCATATTTTCACCTATATTTGATGGCTTAAAAAATACGTATTTTCTTTTTCTTTGAGTTTGTTGTTGAGGTGTTGATGGTTATAAAATTCAAACAGCACAGAAGGGCGTATGATCCCACCACCAACCTCCAGCAACCCTCTTCAGAGGCAGTGGTTTCCAGTTTATTTTTTTATTTTTTATTTATTTTAAGATTTTATTTATTTGAATATATATATATATAGAGAGAGAGAGAGAGAGCGCGCGAGCGCATGAGCGGGAGCAAGCATGAGTTGGGGGGAAGGGCAGAGGGAGAGGGAGAAGCAGACTCCCTGCTGAGCAGGGAGCTTTTTGAGAGACTTGATCCCAGGACCCTGGGATAGTGACCTGAGCTGAAGGCAGACGCTTAACTGACTGAGTCGCACAGGTGCCCCAGTTGTTTCCCGTTTAATGTGTGTTCTTTCTACACATTTCTGTGCATCCACATGCATTCATATCTATGCATATCCTTTCTGTTTTACAAATAAGCACATATTCTACACACTTACTGAAACTTTTTTTTTAATTCTCATCTTGCAAATCCTTCTACACCAGTCCCCAGAGGTACAGTGGCCTCAGTTTTATCATCTTTTATGTACATTGTGACTTTTCCATTTAGCACTTTTTAAAAGCCATTCATGGGGTATCAGTGTCTTGGAGATTGGAGTGTCTTTTCTTCTGATACTCTGAAAGATTTTTGCCTGGTTTTAGTTCTGTTAGTATTTTACCTTACCTTGCTTCCTCTGATGAGATTTCCACTTTTGTAATGGCTTTATTTTTCTCCTCAATGTCTTCCATCAACGTGGCCAGCTTTTCAACCTTTTTGTTATTGTACCTCTTTTTTGAGGCCTTCATCTCTTCTTTGAGGTCTTAGTTCAGAGAAGCTCTATTTTTATTAATACATCTATCATTGGCATCTCCTTAGTGGCATGGTATGGAGAATATAGTTTTTACCCTAAGTTGGTCACGATTCCTCCTCCTTCCCTGCAGGAGTTTTGCCGAGGGCTCTGGCTATTTCTTCTCCGGCAGTCACTCAGCTTTGGAAGGGTCTGTGCTTCATGAGTCAGCTGACACTCAGTGTTGGCGAGGAGCTGGGGTTGAGTCATTTGAATCTGTCCACTGTACTTCTGGATCTTAACTCTTGTTTCTGAGCACTTTCTCTAACATTCTGCCCCGAGGGCCAAGCAGTGTATCTAGCAGTGAATCCATAACCACAGTTCCACACATCAAGATCTAGCATTTTAAACCCTCTTTTTGGGTGCCAGGGTGGCTCAGTCGGTTGGGCATCTGCCTTCAGCTCGGGTCATGATCCCAAGGTCCTGGGATCGAGCCCCATGTCGGGCTCTCTGCTTGGTGAGCAGCCTGCTTCTCTCTCTGCCTTCCGCTCCCCTGACTGCTCATGCTCTCTCTCTCCCTTTCAAATAAATAGATAAAATCTTTAAAAAAAATAAAATAAAATAAACCCTCTCATTGACTAAGTAGTTTTAGGATTGGCTCAGTGTTTAAGAGTGCAAGGTCAGGAGTGTGATGACCCAGGTTTCAATTTTGGCTGCCCAGCTTTCCATTTGTATGGCCTGGGGGGCAATGTACCCAGCCTCTTTGTATCTCAGTCCCCCAGCTGTAAAACAGGGGAATCACTCCTGCCTCACAGGGATGTTTTGAGGATTGAGTAAGCCTTTAGTATCTCTTAAAGCCCTTAAATATCATCTGGCAAACTAACACTTATGAAGTACTTGTTACCGTTAACACTGGTCTTTTCTTCTCTTCCCAACCATGCTGAGAGATTGCTTTCTGCAAAGATAGTGTGTCTGTACATTTTCTTTTTTTGGCCTCCCCTGCCACTAGGTAGTGTCCAGTTGGCCTACAGTTATATTCCCAGACACGCTAGTCCCTAGGGATTAACTCCTTGCAGCCGGCTTCCCTGTGACTTGAGTTCCCTGGCACCTCCACACTTCGGCTTCTCTCCTCCCCAACCAGGTCTGATTTCAACTGCACTGGGCACCCCCTTTGAAAACCCAGTAGTGGTTCAGGCTCCAGACAATTTTCAACTTCTCCCAGGAGGATCTTCCTTCCGGTTGTTTTCTGTCTCCAAAAGGAGAGCAGGACAGATGTTTATAAAGAAGCTTGATGATTTTGAAAAAGGAGTTTAAATCAGGAAGGTGGTTCCGACTCCCCTGCATCCCTGTCCTGCCTTATGCTGTCCTTTATCATTCACACATTGAGCAAATACCTAGTGAGTAGTGAATGCGCGCCGAGAGCCAGCACTGCTCTAGAGGTGGGGGAGACCCCAATAAATAGCACCCAGTCCAGCTCACCGAGTTTACTGTCGTCTTGGAGAGACAGAAAAAGTCACTGGGCAAGGCACTAAGTGTAATGAATACTATGAGATGGGACCACGCACCATGCTACAGGAGCGCACACCATGAGACGGGACCCTGCCGACCGTGCACGGTGATGCAGGAGCCTGTGCTATGAGATGGAGCCATGCACCGTGACGCAGAAGCACACATTGAGACGGGACCACGCACCATGATACAGCAGCGCACACTGTGAGACAGGACCGTGCACCATGATGCATGAGCACGCACTGAGATGGGACTGCGCACTGTTACGCAGAAGCACGCACTGAGACGGGACTGCGCACCGTGATACAGGAGCGCACATCGCGAGACAGGACTGCACACAGTGATGCAGGAGCCTGTGCTGTGGGACAGGACTGTGCACCTTTACGCAGAAGCACGCGCTGAGACGGGACCACGCACCGTGAGACAGGAGCGCGCACCATGATGCAGGAGCACACGCTGTTGAGCCGGGACCGCTCACTGTGGATGCAGGAGCACCTGCTGTGACCCGTGAGAAAAGGGCCAGGAGACACTGCCCTAGGATGAGTGTGTGTCTGGGGGACTTTCTAAAGGAAGTGACAACAAAGCTGGTATTGGAGATTTCTGGGGTGGGCAGGGGTATCAGATTATACTTTAGCTTTTTTCTTCCTGTTAGGGACAAAACACATAGTGTCTGGCCTTCTGGAAGCCTTAGGACTGATATTAGTAAAAGGGAAGCAGTAGACACTTAGCAATGGGGGTGAGTCTACTCCAACTTCCAGGAATCCCTTCCCCGACCACCTTGCAGGGCCAGAGCGATTTACTGGCAGTAAATAGATGCAGTGAATGCAGAAGAGGTCGGCCCACCGAGCTCGCAGACAGATTGCTTAATACAGGGCGCATGGGAGCCGGGAGAACCGGAATGAGCAGTGGTGATACGTGGATTTGCCAGACTGTGAAAGGAGACTGAGGAACAGGGATTGGGCGGTTTTGCCCAGCTCAATATTCTACAGACCTGCATATTTGCACCTCTTCTGATAAGTGCTTAGCCTGCACTCAACAAGTGATTAATGCCAGATAATCACAGGCTCCCAGGCTGGGCTCTCTGGGCTGAGCAGTACAAGAGCGTCTTCTCTCTGGGCAAGAACACAGGACATGAGAAACCTGAATGCGTGCAAGTTTCCCGCCCGCCCTCCTGAGGAAACCCTTTATCAAGGATGATCATATGCAAGTTGCAAAAACAAGAGGGGTTTCCTGCTGTGGGGTGATTTAACCTGGGTGAGGCCTCATGCTTTATGTGCATTCTCTCCTTTATCCTGCACAACTTGTTGAAGGAGGCGCCATTAGGATCTCTTTTTCGGGTGAAGTAACTTGTCCAAGGGCACATATCTCATACATGAAAGAGCTGGGATCTGAACCCAAGGAGCCTAGACCCAGAGGCCCTGCTCCATGGATGTTATGAGAAATTTCTAGAGTGATGGTAGCCCACCCAGCCCTGCCCCTAATCACATCCCTTTTGTTTTGTGTCTCTAGACTCCCTTCATTTACCACGCTCTATGTTTTTCCCCTGTGATCGCCTTGGAGATAAAGGGATTTTTGAAAAGGCGAAATCAAAGTCTTTAGACCAAAGACTTTTTTAATGTTCTTGATTCTTAAATTGTAGTATTCTATGGTCTGATGTGAACAACACGTTTGAGAAAAAGAAGACTGAGAAGGTGTTTGGAGTAGCTTTTGTGCGCCTGGAAAGTTAGGGGCAACCTACTGACCTGGGAAGTCTAGTTCATTCTGGCTTTGCTTGGGGGATCTGAGAAGTGACTATTTCTTTACTTCCTCTTGAGAATGTTTATCACATGCCTGTGTGATAAGACCTCCATAAGAGTCCCCGAACCATGGAGTTCAAAGAGCTTTGGAGTTGGTGAACATGCCAAGACGCTGGCGGGGTGGTGTGCCCAGAGAGCGTGTGGAAGCTGTGTGTCCCTTTCCACGACTCGTGGCCTAATGCATCTTTTCCATTTGGCTGCTCCCGGGTTGTGTCCTTCATAATAAGTGGGTGATGGTGGGTAAAAATAACTTTCCTGAGTTCTGTGAGCATTTCTTGAAAATTACCAATCTTGAGGAAGGTGTTGTGGGAACCCCTGATTTCTAGCCAGTTGGTCAGAAGTGTGGGAGGCCTGGACTTGTGACTGGGATCTGAAATTGGGGAAGGGTTATCTTGTGGGACTGAGGGCTTAACCTGTGAGGTCTGCGCTAACTCCGGGTAGGTAGTGTCAGAAGTGGGGTGAGTAGAGAAAAACTGTTTTTCCTTGTAGCATCCTGTGAGCATTATTAAGGCCAGCGTAGATTGTATAGTGTGGTGAGCATAGCTGCCTTTCATGAGCAAAGTAAGGACATTGGAGGGGTTTAAGCAAGGGGAGAACATTTTTACATTTGTGTTTTTAAAATATTTCTGTGGCTGGTCTGTGGAGAGTGCTTTGTAGTGGAGGAGAATGGAAACCAGGCGGCACATGGGTGGCTCAGGAAGTTAAGAGTCTGCCTTTGGCTTGAGTCCTGATCCTGGGGTCCCGGGGTCAAGCCCTGTGTTGAGCATGGGGGAGCCTGCTTCTCCTTCTCTCTCTGCACGCCCCACCCCTGTCACTCATGTGCTCACTCTCTCTTTCTCTCTCGCATAAATTTAAAAAATAAATTAATTAAAAGACTGGAAGCCAGTAGGCCATTGCAGGAGTCTGGGGGAGGAGATGTCAGTTGGGTCTAAGGTGCTGGTGGCAGAGAGGAAAAGTGGATGGATTCAAGAGCTAAGAGTGTAAGATGTAAAATACGCACAACTCAGAACTTGACTGGATAGGAATGTTAAAAATATCTTCCTGACTCTTTTCTTGAATCCTTTATTTCTTACCTGTTGACGCTCATTCTAATGAAAGGGACATGACTTCCTCCTCTTTGCTTCCACTAGCAATAATGCTACTGTATAACCCGGCTGGGCATTTGCTGTGAGTACTGTTCCCAGTTCCACACCTTGCTTCCTTGAATCTTGACCACAGCCCTATGAGGTGGGCACTATTACCATCCTTATTTTAGAGCTGAAGGAATGAGGAATACAGAGGGCAAGTAACCTCTCCAGGTTGGCACAAGGTCCCATGTGGTGAGCGCAGGAGCTGGGCTTGGAACCCATTTCCTCACATGGTCCAGCCCAGTCCCTTGGAACCTCCAAGGGGATTGCTGCAGCTGACCTCTGAGTTTCCCCCACCCCCCTCTCTCTCTTCCCACTCATTTTCACCACACAACCAGGCAGGTCTTTCCATAACTGTTTCCAGCCTTCTGCTTTCTTTTGCGTTTTTAATAAAATCCTCAAGCGTCTGATTTCAGGGCCCTTTATAATCTGACCCACTCTGCCAATCCAACCTGCTTTCTCACTTTTGCAGAAGAATTTAATAAAGGTATGTCTTTATATCATTTTAGCTGTTCATGTAATATAGCTCTCTTACCAGTCTGCAATTTGGTTTGAGTTGGGAGTTGCCAATTTATAAGATAAGTTAATGCTAGGATTTCTTTCAGAATCTTACCAAAAAGCAATGGCATTTTTTCATTCATTTTGAGTGTTTTTCCCCTGAGGTAAGAGATCTCTGTGATTATAGGCCCCAACACTTGAGCCAACATCTAGGCAAAGATGTACCTAGAAAGAGACTATTTGCAACAGTTATTTTGAGGGAGCCCATAGAAACTTAGTAATTGTAAGTACATGGTGGGGAGAGGGTAGTTAAAATTTAAAGTCAAAGCTTACCCTTTGATAATAAAATTAGGAAAAGTAAACCTGTCATTAATGTATCGGCCTTTTGAGGCACCTGGGTAATACAGTTGAGTTGTTGGAAAGGAAAGGGGAAGCGTTGCCTGTTGAAGGGAAAGGTCCCAGTTGGTCAGCTCACCTGAGTGCAACTCTGATCTCCGAACTATCTTAGGACTGGTCATTTGGTTCTTCCCTCCCCCAGCCTGATACCAGCAAGGCAGTAACCTGGGCTGGGTGCACATTGTCTAGGCACCCCTGTATTACTGATATTCTAGCTTATGTAGTAAGCTTAGAACACAGACCGTGGTTTTTCTCGGTTCTTCCCAGGGTGATACATAACCACTGTTATTCTAGATGCCGAGGAGAGAAGCGAACTCATTGCCTACAGTGGATGCGTTGGTGCATTAGGGTTTAATCCTCTCGTAGATCCTGGGATCAGAAAGGCTGTGACCTGAATCAGCCTCCAAGAGATGAGGCAGCCCTGTGGACTGACAGCATCCCACTTGGCAGGGGCTAAAAACAGCTTTCCCCCAGACCTAGCTGCCCTGGAGGCTCAGCTGGGCAGCACTGCCCATGCCTCCTCCTGGGGGCCCCCTCCCTGTGGTAACTGAGCACCAGTTACAGCTTCACACTTTCCCGAACTCTGAAGGCCTTCCCAGGGTCTCTAGCCTGTCCTTGACATTTTAGACCATTTCACCCAAGAACTTCACAGGCCCCCAGGTTTGCGGTCACCTCTAGTGCACACGCAGCCCCTTGCAGAATGGGTAAGTACGAGCAAAGCAGGACTGGACACTCGCTCCCCGGATAGTGACATGCTTCCTCATTCAGGCCTCATGGTTTGCACACTTCAGACTTTTGCTATAGCAAAATCATAAATTATTGCAGATGATGGACTTTTAGGGAGGCAGGGAAATAGTCAAAGTGAGAATTAAAATCTGAGATGCCTCGGGGTCGCATGGATAGCTTTTCTTTTTGCCTTTAAAATGGATGCTTTATTGTTTATTTGGAAATTATTCAAGCTGCATGTCATTGCTTTGTCTCAGCCTCTCCACACGCTGCCTCACCCCACCCTGCCCCTCAGGACTGCATCCACGAAATCTGTGCAGTCAGCTCTGTGTGTCTCTGGATGCCGTATGCCCTGAGGGCCCAGGTAGAGGAAGTCACTGACTGTCCCTGCTCTGTGTGCCCCATTGAAGGGCACTGTGAGGGCTCACTGTTCTTTTCTTTTGCTTGCAGGACACATTTAGCATCACTACCAAGACAGCCTCTCTGGATATATTTCTGCCAGATGGAAGGAATATTCCAGTCGAAATTCTAACATCAGATACCGCTGAAAGAGTCCTGGAGGTAAACTTTGTCGAAACTCCAGAACCAAATTTAGGAATCATTCTGTTTGAAGGCAGGGACTAGGATAAAGTTACCTTCCAGAAGCTTCCTGCCTGTCTTTTTATTCTGGATGACGTATCTGTTGAGACGCTGGGATTTTCTGGGAGACGGACCAAGGAATCTGAGCTACAGCCAATCCTCCTGAGCGTCTTTGGTTTTACTCTCCTTGTAGACATCAACTTCCCAGACATCTTTTAGACCCTCCCCAAGGCTGCTGTCAGTCACCTGGGACTCAGCCAAGGTTGTACCCTGGAAATGTGCCAAGTGCTTTATTATGGGATGCCTCATAGTTGGGAGCAGGAAAGGGAGTGGAACCCAGAGGAGGCTGAAACAGGCAGTACCCAGGTAGGCTGGTGACAGGTCCTGTTAGAGAGTGACAGAGGAATGCTGAAAGGCTTAGAGTTGTCCTTCCTCCCCCACAGGGAAAACCCCTGAAACCAACAACCTAGCAGGTCTAACTCTGGGTCCAGTGGGCCAGACCTGAATTCTAGTTGGTTCTGTGAAGAGTCTGACTCTTCACAGAGAGGACAAGACCCAGAGACTACCCTCCCTGTCCTTAGATGGCAGCCATTACCAGCTCTGTCCCTGGGGCTTTTCCTCCCTCCCCTGGGTGCCAAGAAGACACTGGCTTCTCACATCCACACACTGTTCCCAGGTCCTTTTCCTCTGGAGGGTTTTAGTTCTAATCTTCCAGAGAAGTATATGAGGGAAATATAAAGTTATAACCAGGTGGAGGTCAGGAAGTTTCTAGGGTCTTCCAAGGACAGAATATTCTTGTGCTAGGGAGGTGGTACCTGATACCTTCTGGGCAGGAAACAATTCCTCCCTGTTGGGTTCCCAACTCTCAGGCCCACTTTTACCTGAGACCGTGGTGTGGGTGGACGGCCTCTCCCTGCATCATGGCTCCTCTTTCTAGCCTGGGGATTGAAGCGGGCCCATGCCTTCTTGGTCTCCAAAGAGCAGTTTTGTCCCCAGACTAGGAAATGTCCTTTCTCTAGGGTCGTGGCTCTGCCCCAAAGTGATTGTTTTGGACCTTCCTTCCTACGACAGTCACTGCACACCACCTTTTCTTGGCTCCTGTACCGTTGTCCTGTTGAAATGGGATCAGCAGCCACCTCATCGCTGAGGCCCTCCATGAAGAAGTTACCCCAGGGTCCCCCTCCTTAACCAACCCCCGCCCCCCCAAATCCTACTGACCTCGTGTCCTAAGTCTCTCTCCTAACAATTCCCATCTCTATTTTCTCCTCTCCACCCTCACACCCTCATTTTGAGTCTTTATTTCTCAGCTAGGTTTCTATAGCAGCCCCAAAAGTAGTCCTGGCTTGCAGTCTCGCCAGTCTTCTATACTGACCTCCAGTATGACCTTTCTAAAAAACATCAGAGGCCCTGGACACTTAATGCCTGAGGGGATTTATAAAAAAAAAAAAAAGTAAAACAAAAAAACTTCTCAAATACAAAAACACTCTTCCCTAAATTGTCCCCCAGAGGACCTGCAGAGCAGGAGTCTGACACATCAGTGAAGGAGAAGGACAGTAATAGGGCAGAGGCCACAGACCCAGATGCCTCCAGGTCCAGGCCTATAACGCAGGGGTGCCAGTGAGGGATGTGAGATAATTCTGGGCCGGGGGGGGGCACATGGAAAACTGGAGAGCCCCTGCCTTGCCTGACAGCTTCATTATTGACATGTTTGTTACATCCTGGGCTCACTGGGCTGATGAGACGTGTGTGCCGCTAAAGTTGGCTGCTGGTGGGAGATTGGGGTCTCTACTTCCCTGGGGTCAGGGCAAGAGCTGGATTCAAATGATGGCACTGCCACGTCATAACTGTGTGGGTCTGGGTAAGTGTCTTAACCTTTCAAGACCATGTCCAAGTAATTATAGAAATAGCCCATGTTCCATCAACAGTGGTGGTTATGGTTATTTCTCAGTATGGGTATTATTATTGATAATAACAATTATTGGAGGGAGTGTTGAGTCACTATTGAGTAGGGTAGTAAGCCTAAGGTTCAGCAATCCCATCTGTTTTGCCCAGTTCCCCTTGTAACTAATAGGATAGATTTAAGGAGGTGCATTTGTTGTCTCAGAAAAATATACTTTCCCTCTTCCAATCTCACTGACTCCTGAGAAATTCACACCCCTGACACTGACAACATTAACATCAGGGAAGTTCACCTGGAGGTTCCGCCCTCCAAGCCAGTTTCTATTAAAAGTAAAATGAGCCCTCGGCCAGGCAGACAGGTGAATTCTCCAGTAGCTGGGAACCTCTCCAGCTTGCATAGAAATGTAAGTTCAATTTTGTAACTGAAAACCATTGTTTATATCTCCTCAAGCATACGGCCCCCACTCTGCACCTCACCACCATCCTGCTGGCCTCCTTAAAGAACCAGCAACAAGCTAAAATCTCCGTTTGAGTTTTTTGTTTGTTTGTTTGTTTTTAATTTCTTTTCAGCATAACAGTATTCATTGTTTTTGCACCACACCCAGTGCTCCATGCAATCCGTGCCCTCTCTAATACCTACCACCTTGTTCCCACAACTTCCCACCCCCCCGCTGCTTCAAACCCCTCAGATTGTTTGGTTTTTAACCATTTGCGCTAATTTGGTTTTACTGGTGGTGGTTGTGTTTTGAAGTGTCCTTAACATTTGCTAAGAAGAAAATACTGGGTCTCTTTTTGTCGACGTTTACTCCTCTCAAAAGAAGGTATGTGGGTTTATGTCTTTATAAATTACAAAAGACTTCTCCATTCTCTCCCCCCAACTCCTTTATCTGTCCTGGCATGAGAGCTTGCTGTTTTCACTGAGTGAGTCAGAGAAGAGAGGAGTCTAATCTAAACGGACGTGGGTCACACTCTAGGAAAAGATGTCCTTGCAGCCTGTTACAACCCAGCACACACTCACCCCTGTGCACCCAGGAGCGCTGGGTTTGATTTGGGGTTTTTGCCCTGGCATGGGGATGGGTGAGGTAAATAGAAGGCGAATGGGGACAAGCCTTGACTGAACGTGTGAAAAGTTCCCAGGCTCCCCTTTATTTTCAAAGCTCTGCTGAGAACACCCCCTCATTTCACCCACCTAATAAGATGGTCTCCTGTGGTAACTTACAGATCCCTGATAGGAAAAGGACCCCTTTGAGCCTCATATTTGTACAGCTGTCCCCTTGGAGCCATGCTTAAAGCATCAGCTCACACATACGGCAGTAAAGTTGAACACTTGAGGGTCCCAGAGGTGCCTTTAGGGGGTGCAAGCAAAGAAATCACTCGGGGCCCAGGCTTCAAGAGGGAGGGTCTGGGTGGTTGAAGAAGGGAGAGTCTGTGGTAACATGGACATTCCCGCCGAGGGAAGGTGAGTCAGTGTAAGACGCAGTGAGCTTCCAGCCTCATAAGCCACTGGCAAAAATGAAACCATTAAAAGGAAAGCCGTTTGACAGAAAAGCCAGGGAGGAACATGAAATGAAAGCAGCCTGTGCCTGGGATCTGAGGTTCACTGAGCGAACGTCAGACAAATTAGACTTGACCATCACTGGAGATATCAGACAGAAGCAGGCCCAGGGAGTCAAAGATGGCCCGTAGCTTGGACGGCCAAGTGGCAGGGCATGTCCCTTTTCCGTGTATCAGATAAACCAGCCCATAGGAAGGTCAGCTGGTGTGGGGGCCCCAGCGGCTGACTGCAGAAGGACAGACGGACATGGAGAATGGCTGCTGCCCTCCAGTGGACTGTAAAGACCAAAGCCTTGGGACGCCTGGGTGGCTCAGTTGGTTAAGCAGCTGCCTTCGGCTCAGGTCATGATCCCAGCGTCCTAGGATCGAGTCCCACATCGGCCTCCTTGCTCATCAGGGAGCCTGCTTCTCCCTCTGCCTCTGCTTGCCATTCTGTCTGCCTGTGCTCGCTCTCTCTCCCTCTCTCTCTCTGACAAATAAATAAATAAAATCTTTAAAAAAAAATAAAAAAAAGAAAATAAAAAAAAATAAAAAATAAAGACCAAAGCCTCTGGGAGACACATCTGTGTCCGAGATGGGACAACCAGCCTTGGCAGAGGTTGGCTCGTGTCCATTGTGCTGGAGCTGATTTTTATTTTCTTCACTCTAATTTGTTTAATTTCTTAATTTTCTAAAATTAGTATGATCACTTTCAGATTCAGAAAAGATTCCTTTTAATGTCAGCAGCCCATCAAAGCCCCTTTTTATCGACATTTACAGGCAGTTTTCAAATTCTGCCCATCACCGTAAGCATGGCGGACGTTCCTAACTTTTCTTGTCTTTGGTTACAGGTGGTGTCACACAGAATTGGACTGAGTCAGGAGCTCTTGGGCTACTTCGGCCTCTTTCTCATTCAGTTTTGCAAAGAGGGCAAACAGTCTGGTAAGGAGAGAAGGAATGCAGGGCAGCCAGGAGCCGGGGAGGGTTGGTGTGGGTGGGTGCCCAGCCCACAGGATGCAGGAGATATAGCTGAGTGAGGGCAGTGCATGGGCCCTACTACTGTCCCAACCCCTGGAGCAAAAGTGGGGGATGGAAAGTTGTGTCTGTGTTCAGGGTAAGCTGGGGCTGAGCAGAGGTGGCATGGGGTGCAGAGACAGTAGCAAGATGTCAGGTCCTTCCAGCAACTGCACTGCATCACGTGCCTGCCCTGGCCCCAGGCCCAGGGCCCGTCTCACCATGACCCTCGCACCCTGGCTGCTGACCACCAACCACCCTATAACCTCAAAATGGACAGCTAGACTCCAGGTGTCAGGACACCCCATCACACCATCACTTCTCCTGGTTCGGGAATGTTGGCTATAAAACGTGGATGCTATCGATAAGTTGTCAGATTCCTAAAACTCATGTAATGAGTTAGTGAAAGATGGTGGTATGATTCACATGGCTTACGGATTTCTCTACAGTGTATGTCTAAGATAGGACAAGTTATTTACTTGTGAAATAGTATTGATTATCTGAAGGCAGTTTCCATAAATTCCCAAGAAGCTACAGAGAGGTGGTTTTGAGTTGGAATTAAGGGGTTTGGGTTACGACTTGGCCACTGAGATCTGCCGTGGGCTGGCAAAGGCACCAGACCTCTCTGAACCTCAGGTTCTTCTTCAGTATCCCAGGGTAAAATACCCTCTACTAAAGGTGTTGATATTTTATGAGGATCAAATGCTACTTATTTTTTAAGGGAATTTCAGAAACTTAAAAATTGTGTACAAACGCAAGGGAATATTATTGTTGTGATTATATTCTTTCCAATGTAATGCTTGATTTTCTCATTTCAAAAGCCTCGGTATGTAAACTCTATGTGCTGTTTCAACCAGTAGGACTCTCTTTCCCCTTTCTCTAGTCATGAAAAAGTTGGTGGACTTCGAGCTCCCTTATGTGAGTCTTCGAAGCGCTGAAGCGGAAAACTGCAAGGTCGGACTGAGGAAGTGGTAAGCATTTATGGTGACCGGAGGTATTTTGAGGATGTTTTGGATTCCTGTTGAGAATTTGTTGGTCTCACCCTGTCAGCTCCCAACCTAACAGCTAGAGAGGGACCAGGAACGTGGGGACAGTTGAGAGGAGAACAATAAAGAAGACTGAGTGGAGAGAGAACCAGAATATTTGTCCTGAACAGTAAGATGTTCAGGATGACTTTCACTGGTCTCCCCTAAGTACTTGAGGGTTCTTGTCCTGGAGATGGTGGCCATGAACGCAAAGCTTGAAAAGCCAGTGCTATTGGGGTGGGGATGGAAGCAGGAATGCTGAGGGACTGCAGATCGTGGACTTGCTTTGGAATGGATTATCAGCTGGATTAATTGAAGGAATTGGTTGATGATTCCAAGCAGGTATGATTCATCTGTTGAACCGTGGTATTCCCTGAGGGCAAAGGGTGGACTCAGCCAACTTGCCGTGAATTTGAACTCTAAAGTATTATTCCGCTTACGTTCCTAGAGGATTCCAACAACAAATGCATATAAGCCAGGGCCAGCCATACCCCTAGACTGATTCAACACTTTTGAGAAAATATTACCCTTACCCCCAGAAACAGGAAGCCCTAGGGAGAGTGAACAAATAGAAAATAACAAGAAGTACCCCAGGATGCCTGGGGCCTGAGTAGACTGAACATCTGACTCTTGATTTCAGCTCAGGTCATGGGTGTCAGGGCTGTGAGATTGAGCCCCGTGTCGAGCTCCATGCTCAGTGGGGAATCCGTTTGGGATTCTTTCCCTCTGCTCCTCCCCCTATTCTCTCTCATGCTCTCTCTCTCTCAAATAAATACATCTTAAAAAAATAAATAAATAAGAAGCATCCCCCTGTATATCCCGTAATGTGTAGTCTGCAATGTTTATTACCATGGCTGTACTGGATGGCTTCTTTGGCTCACTGTCTCCCAGCCCAGCTATTTTGTCATCTGATCACAGAAGTTTTAAAGAAAGGCATTTTGTAATCTAGGAATAGTAGTGATCTTGACCTCGTGATGCCTCGCTTAGAGCTCCAGTCTGTGGTTTTGAATTTTGGAAGGATGTTCTGGGCAAGGCTAAAAGTTCATATACTGCTATTCGAAGTATTCTGAAAAACTGTCAAAATCTGTGGCATGGAACCCTGAGAAGGGGAAAAGGAAAAACCTTGAGCAGTTCCATCTAAGTGTTTCTGGAAGCTGTTTAGTATGACAAGCGAGGCTGAGCATGACTGTTCCTGGGGTCAGAGTATGTGAATCTAAATCCCAACCCTCTTGGGTTTGAGTTGAATAACCTTAGCCAAGTTACTCAAGCTCACTAAGCCTCAGTTTCTTTATCTGTAAAATGGGAATGATAATAAGAGTCTACCCCATACATTTAGTATGAGGGTTAAATAAAATCATTCCACATGCTCAATAAGTTTTGGTCTTGTTTGTTGCTGTTATATTGAGGATAATAATGATAATAGTAATAACAGTAACAACAGAAATCCCTGGGGCTCAGACTGCTTCGCTCATGGGCTCTCCAGAGAACTTGACATCAAAGTCATGAGGATTCTGTCCCTCATCTTGAAGCCTTAATTAGAAATTGGGCTTTGCCTATGTCTTCATTAAACAGGTATATTCTAGATCATCAGTGCAAGAGAAGATGTCATTCATGTGTCATCCTCTCAGATCCAGGCAGATTGCCTTTGCCTATGGGAACTGGGAAGAAGGGAGGTCTCACTCCAGTTGTTAGAGCTGAGGGTCACGTCATATGAGGGGGAGAGCCTGGAGTACGATCCTGAAGGAGCTTTGTCCTCTTTCTAGGAAAAGTCTAACTGAGTGGGAGCTGGGAGGCTGGCTTGGCTGCCATAAGCTGTGGGATTCCTGGCAGGTGAAACATCACAATGAAGCCTTGCCAGCCTCTGGGGGATTTTTCGCTCTCTGTGAATTCTCTGGTGGCATCTCTCCGATTATGATACGGTTCCTTGCAGACCAGAGGGAGCCTGCCCTGACCTCTCAGAGCCCCAGTGTGGGATGGGTCTAGGGGCTCTCTAGTTCTGACGCAACAGATCTTCTCTGCCACAGAGAAGAGGGTGCGTGTGCTGCGGGGCAAGTCAGCTAAATAGAATATAACGGAGTGCTTCTGGTGCCTCTCCCCACCCCCCAGCAGGAAGGTGATCTTCAAGTCACATTTTTGTCCTTTCCTAGTCCATGCCAATCCCATTGGTTTGTTAACCATTCATTCCTAAGTGCAGTGATTCTGCTGACGTCTGCCTTCAGATTGGTTTAGACCAGCTGCTGTGGGTCCTTTCCTGACCATTTCTATCCATTCTTAGCAGCTCCTGTGCTTATACAGGAGCTAGGATTTCAGTTTATCCTGGTGAATCTGGATCCGTTAGACAGACATGGAGCACCGCCATTTGCAAGGCACTCTGCAAAGGTCCAGAGGGGCAACTCCAAATAGGATGCAGCCCCGACCTACCTGGTGTCAGGGTCCATGTGAGGAGAGCAGTGGTCAGGAGGAATTTAGGGTGCTAAAGGATGGAGTGGAAGCCTTGGGGAGTGGGGACCAGAGGATGCAGGAAGAGGCAGGCGAGTCAGGGCTGGAGGCTGGGGAGGCCATTGGTCTTGCAGGCAGAGGCGAGAACACATGGTTGGAATGTAGAGTGTGAGGGAGGTAGGTGGGTCATAGATGGAGCTGGAATTAAAGCTAGGTGTCACATGACGGGCACCATGGAGAGGAGCAGGATGAATGATCTAACTCCTGGGACCGAGAGTCCAAAGGTTACTCAGGAAAGAGCCCTCAGGTTAGAATGTAGAGCCTGACCCAGAGGGGCCGGGCTGAGGCAGGCGGCCTGACAAAGGAAGCAGCTCGAGTGGCCTGGGCGTGGGGCAGTGATACAGATGTGGGTATGGGGCTGATGAAGACGCTCTACTGTGGGGTGGGGAGAGGGCCTGCACAGTCACACCCGAGTGCAAACGGGTTGTGGGCCATTTTCCATCAGCTTTAGCGTTTGGCATCTTTCCTCTCAGGGTCCACCAGGCAAGAGCGCAGAGTGTAAAGAAAGTCGGGGACAGAGAGCTGGAGGGACAAACTAAAAGCTTGGCGAGGAGAGGGGTGTTAGTAAGGGGGGGCTCAGTTTCAAGTGTAGGGGGCCACCACCGCAGAGAGCACTGGCTCCCAGGTGTGCCCACCGGCCATGGCGTCTGAATGACCTTAATGCTGCTGAACCACACAGGTACACGGACCCGTCCCTGGACTCCATGCTGACGGACTGCCCGGCGGCGCTCCAGTTGTTGTACATGCAGGTGAGGGGGACCGAGGACTCGCAAAACACCAGATGGTCTTCACCATTTGGGATTGAAACCATTAGAAAAAAATGGGTAATAGTTAAGAATTCTACCTCCCAAGCTAGGAGAGACAAATGCACAGAGACAGAAAGTACAATGGAAGTTATTAGGGGCGAAGGGGCAGGGAGTTACTGTTTAACGGGGACAGAATTTTTGCTGGGGCTGCTAAAAAAGTAGGTGTAAGAGAGTGTTGATAGTTTCACGACCTTATGAATGTTTTTAGTGCCCCTGAATTGTACACTTAAAAATGGTTAAGAAGTGGGGTCCCCGGGTGGCTCAGTCAGTTCAGCTCTGCCTTCGGCTCAGGTCATGCTCCTGGAGTCTCAGGATCGAGCCCCACATTGAGCCCCACGTCAGGCTTTCCACATAGGGCTTCCTGCTCAGCAGAGAACCTCCTTCTTCCTCTGCCCCTCCCCTGCGCATGCACGCGCGGACACACTTTCTCTCTCTCTCTCTAAAATAAACAAATAAACCTTTTTAAAAATGGTTAAAATGATACATTATAAATAAATAAATATATATATATATATATTTAATTTAAAATTTAAAAAAATTTAAGGAAGCAGAATTTAGAGAGAAGAAAAGTTCTACCTCCATTTTAACAATCTCTCTGAGTTTCCCAGCCAACACTCCATCATCTGGACCAATTTACATGAGCCTAGAAATGATGTCCCTGATAATCTAAAGCTACATGTAGTCCCCAAATCTCATTTTAACATCCTCTTCTTTTTCCCTGAGGCGACAAGCATCGTACCTACCCACATGGCCCACTTCAGAGATGTGTAGCCTGTGAAGCAGCACTGGGCCTCATGCTCAGAAGGGCCCCACACTTGTTTAAGATTCTGCTGTCGCCATCTTGAAATGCTTAATTTTGGAACAACAGACCCCACATTTTCATTTTGCATTAGGCCCTTTCAAACTATGTTGTTGGTGCTGCCTACCCCAATGCCCTAAGCCGCGCCCCCCCCCCCACGCCCTGCCCCAGAAAGTGCGTTTGGAGTTTGGCCTCCTTTCCTTTCCCAAGCCGGGTGGTGAAGGTTCTGCTAAGCAGAGGGATGGTCAGGGGATGCTGCCTCTGTGATAGGTCTCCAGTTACCTCCCCAGCCCCACCTTTGTTCTCCTGCCTCACCAGCCCCCTGTCACTACAGACACGATGTTTCTCCATGGAATGGGAGTTACCACTTGCACAGAAAGGCAAAGACAGGGTGCCTGGTGGCTCAGTCAGTTAAGCGTTCAACCCTTGGTTTCATCTCATGAGATTGACCCCACATCAGGCCCCACACTCAACAGGGAGTCTGCTGGAGATTCTCTCTCTCTGCCTCCCCGCCCCCCACCCCCCTTCACTCTCATTCTAAATAAATCAATGAATCAATGGATAAACAAACAGTTTACAAAAAGGCAAAGACAGAGTGGCAGATTTCCCTTTTATATTTATAAAGCAGAAGCTCTTCTTTGAAGAAATGACCACACTTCCATATTATCTTGTAAAGCAACCACTAGGTGCTTTATGTGCCCAGGGAGAGGAAACTTCTGGGAGTTTTACTGAGCTGTATGCGAAAGGACTGCCTAGTATAGGCCAAGCAGGGAAGCAGAAGGCAGGAGAATCACCAAATGCCTCAGAAGAAAGAAGCTGGGGAAGGTCGGCATGATGGGCCCATGCACCGGGCCCCAAAGTCACAAGGCATGCCACCATTTAACCGGCAGTGTTTTTACTTACTGTCTCACAAAAACATGGTACCAGAATCCATGGTGCCTACAATCTGACAAAGTAAAGCATCACTGACATCTCTGTTTCCCCCACTAGACCACCAGCCTCATGCAGGGACCTTGGCTTTTCCATCACAGGATGGAGCACCTGGGTGTAGGACCTAGCAGACACACGGAGCCCAGAGGCTAGAGTGTTGATAAGGGGTGACCTTCTTATGTGACTTTTTTTTTTTTTTAGATTTTATTTGTTTATTTGGGAGAGAAAGACAGAGATAGCGAGCAGGAAAGAGAGAGAGAAGCAGGCTCTCCATTGAGCAGGGATCCTGATGCGGGGCTCGATCCAGGACCCTGGGATCATGACCTGAGCCAAAACCAAGAGTGAGACACTTAATGGACTGAGCCACCCAGGGGCCTCTCTTAGGTGACTTCGTAGGAGACCAAGGCAATCTAATAAATCATCTTCACGAAGCTCTTCTAAATTCTAAGGAGGCAAATCAAAATATCACTTATTGAATATTTAATGTTTACTACTGTAGTTTAATGGCTAGAATACAGTTTTGAGTTCATTTCTGATCATACTTTGATCCATGTAATTAAACCCACATGGTGTGCTTTGGAACATAATTTACCATTTTAAATGTCTTCCGAGGCTCACTGCTGTTGTAACCTTGCTATTATTGTGCGTTATGAGTTGTGTCTGGTCTGTTTGATACCACATCCTTGGTGGAGAAAGCATCACCCAGTTCCGCTGTTGTTCTGGTGGGAAACAGTCTTTCTGGCCTGGTTTCCAGGATACATTATGGGGAAAAGCAGAGGCTACCAACGTCATTAGAGGAATTTTATCTGTCTTCATCAAGGAGTTGTAAACCAGAGAGAAATGCTCTGTATTTCCTCTGCTTATAGTTGGGGGGAAAAATGGCTTCACGGAAAGCACACTGAATTCAGTCTCGAAGATGCATTCTGTCCCTTGCTGTGCTGTGGGCTCTCTCTCCGGTATGATTGAGGACCCACCACCTTCATTCTTCTGATCCTGATCCAATCTCATCGCTTAACAACGTCCCCCGTTAAGCGATGAGATTGAAGTTCTCTCTCAGCTTGAATAGACTGTTATCCAAATTGTAGATCTTTGCCTGGCAAAGTCTTCAAAAGATGGTTGCCGGTGGTATAACCATCTGTGCCATTACTATCAATATTCTCATTGTTTGATGAATCCACACAGAGGTACCAAGAAGTTGGCCCCAGGGAGTCACAGCCATCATTGTGGCCTCTTTTGGGGAAACTCTTCTCAGCTCCCCTTGAAAGAAAATGTTTCCCTTCCTCTCTGCTCCTGTGGTATTTCGTTTATACCCATTATGGTCCTTCTCACCCAGCCTTGAAAATACTGCCCACGTACATATTTGCCTAACTAGACTCTGCAAGGCTCAGGGCAGAGACTGTCCTGGGAGCTTAGGATGTGTGAATGTGTGAGAAGCAATCATCCTTTTAAAAAAATTGATGCAGAATGTTCTTAGGAGTTCTTCCGATAAATAATGGTGTCATCATAATTGCTTTTGATTTTTCTAAAGCAGCTATGCCTCGTGACATCCTGGGAGCCAAGTGGACCCCCACATGTTTTTTTTTCCTTTTTTAAAATTTGAGGAACATGAACAAAATGGAAGATTGTATATACAGCTATAAATTTCTGGATTTTCTCAAAAATATTGAGGCTTGGTCAATTCTGGGTCTGCGTTTCAGCACCACTGGCCAGAATGATAATTTTGTGCAAATTAGAACAAGAGGTCCCTTCTTCCAGGCAGGCTTAACCCCATATCAGGGCCTGTGGCTCAGGGAAGGGAGCCTGGGTTGACCATTACCTTCCCTGGAGCCCCAGAGCCTGGTGCCCTTCATGCAGACCCAGGTCTACCCGCAATAGTCCTGGCCTTGCTGTGCCATGCCTCCACCAGCTAGAGCCGAGTGGCTGATGCCTTTCTCTCCATTTCTCACTGCGGGGGATATGGGATATGCATGATGGAAGCATGTGAAACCCGTGGCTTAGGAGATTTCACTTGATTTTAAAAATCAGTATCTACAGGGTGCCAGGGTGGCTCAGTGGGTTAAGCCCCTGCCTTCGGCTCAGGTCATGGTCTCAAGCCCCACATGGGGCTCTCTGCTCAGCAGGGAGCCTGCTTGCCCTACTCTCTCTGCCTGCCTCTCTGTTTATTTGTGATGTTTCTCTCTGTCAAATAAATAAATAAAATCTTAAAAATAAAAAATCAGTTTCTACGTAAGTCTTCAGCAGCCAGTCTTTGGGGGGCCAGAGAACTGAGCAGAGGCATTGTCTAAATTTGACTCTCTCATTGTTAGGAGAAGTCCTGTATGTCATGTATTTGATGACTCTGGAGCCCATAATCAGGGTTAAATCTTTTCAAAGGTAGTGAAACAAGAGCAGTCTGGTCCTGCTGAGGTATGGCATTTAAATCTCTGTGTCTGAGAGTCCCAGGTCGCCTAATGCTGAATGACCTATCTTCCGTGAGTCCTTACTGTTGTGATTGCTGTTTAACTTCTTTCTTTAGTCATGCTTTCTCTCTCATACCTCTGCCCTGTGATAACAGCCCCTTACGGGACTCTACCACCAAGTAGAATTCGGGAGAGGAAAAGATGTTCCATTCTTCATACCCATATCAATTCCATTCTGGCAGGGTGTCTGTGCTTAGTCTTGAGAATAGTTGGTGACCAGGAGAAGGTCTTGGGGTGGGTAGCTGTCCACATGCTCAGAATTCAGTGGCTGGGCCAAGGACAGGAGGACTCAGTGCAGTGGACAGATTGGGATTTTGACCCAACTCTTGCCAGGTTGCCATGGTCTCAAAAGCCATAAACTCTCTGGACCTCAATTTACCTATCTGTAAGATGGGAGGGGAGGATGTTCCTATCCCACAGAATAATTTGGATAAAGTCAATAAGAAAACCTATCTAAAGCAGCTTCTCAACAAATATTATTTTTCTTCTCCTCTCTAAACCCATCTCCTTTTCCTCAATCTAAATAGCTAAATCAAAACTTTATTCAGCTTTTCATTCTCCATTTGGAGATAAGGCATCACCAGTAACACTGAGGAATGGAACACGTAAACCTATACTAAGACTAGGATGTAAATAAGTGTCTGACAATTAGTGAAGAATTGTTGAGTGTTTGCTGCGTGTAAGACCTTGGACAAGAAACAAGAAACACTGAGGTGAAGGACTCAACCCTGAGGGGTTGACAGGCTAACTGAAGACCAGTGGAAAACTTCTTTTAAAACATGATAAATAAAAGCAGCACAGGATAATCATACCAGTCTCAATCCCATCAGTTCTATATGGAACTTTCTGTTTCCCTCAACCCTTGCTAGCCCTGAATATTATATATATATATTAGTGTTTACCAAGTTCAGAGGAAAAATATATAGATTTGTAATTTGGAATTCCTTTTTGTTGATTACTGATACATATTCCTTGTTGACATTTTTCCTATTGCTTTACATAAATAATATCAACTTATCCCCACATATAATGTTTTCTCTGGTTTGCCATTTATTTCTTAGTTTTGTTCTTGATGGCTTTTATGTATAAAAGTTTTATATTTTCATATAATTACATATTCCTTTATATTTTAAAAATATTATTCCTTACCTCAAGATCAGGCTTTTTTTTCCTGAAATTTTTTTTAATAGCTAAACCTTTATCTGGATTTATTTGATTGGGTGGCATGAGAAAAGAGCAACTTTACTTTCTCTCCCAAGTGTGGCCAGTTGTCCCCAAACCATTGAACGAATTCTTCCTATACCCACTAATTTAATAAATAACCTTTATAACATGCTAAATCCTTGTATATGTCACTTGGGTCTGTTTCTATAGCCTTTCATACATGAATGTATTTTTGCCAGATTAATTCATTTCTGCTCATCTTGAGCAAGCAAGTAAGTAAGGTTGCTAATTTTACCACTTCTGTTGTTTTAAGGCAGTTCAGGACATTGAAAAAGAATGGGCCAAACCCACAGAGGCACAGAGACAGAAATTACAGGCTCTCCAGAAAGAAGACAACCAAACCAAGGTAAATCAGATATTGCACCAAGAGAAATTCCTTGGAGGGGAGTTAAAGAAACATATTAGAATTGAGCTGTTTCTTAATTTATAAACCCACCAACCACAAAAAATGGTTTAAGATTAAGAAATGAGAATATCATCATTATTTTTTCTGATTATATTATTTAAAGATTCTGAAAAATACAGACAATAGATTGTGGTGAACCCTTTGCGCAGTTAATACAGACCCTCAGCATTTTTTTTTAACAACCACAGAGTATTCTGTTTTATAGTTATCATTTAGCTAACCAATTTCTTATTATTGGAAATCTGGTGGTTTCCAGATTTGCTGCTATAAATCACTTTGGCAGCAAGCACCACAAGGCCCAGGACTGTGTCTAATTTATATCCTGTATGTTCCCAACACCTGGAACCGTTCCTAGCTGAAGGTCCCGGAACACTACAGCCAGCATCCTCTGTCTTGGAGTACGTGTTCTATTATTTCTTAGAATATATTTCTAGAAGAACGGTTTTAAAGCTTCCATAAAGGTTGTACCAGCTCGCACTCCCCCGTGTCCCCAAGCAGTGATAGAAGCCTGACGAACAAGGCATAAGTTAGCAGGAGGAATGGACTCTGTTTCATCATGTTGTCTTCTTTATCCTTTAGACTTTGCCAGTGTTCACTCACTGATTTTAAACAAAATGCAAACAAAATATAGAGGACTCATTTGTACCTAAATTGATATAGAAAGTAATTCTTCAAAAGATTAGATATTTTGAGAATTGTACTGACGGGCAGGATAAGAAAAGGAAAAAGTATCTACTGCCATGAGTCAATATTTTCCTTCCTTGGTATTCTGCCTCAGCTTTGTTATGAAAATTTTGGAGTTCAATTTCAATTATAGTGTTTATTTTGGTGGACAGAATATTTGGATACAATTGGTTACATCAGCTGCTTTGGATACAATTACAGATTCTAGGTACATTTCTGCTCCCTAAACTTATTAATTTAATGAATTTAGTAAGAATATTATTTTTACCACATGCTATACTCCCCCCAAATTTGTATTTGTATTTTGACACAAAACAAATTTTATTTTACCATACTATTTGTAGTAATCTTTTAAAAACTGTACTTTGAATGCATGAAATAGATGGAAAAAAAAAAAAAAAGAACTGAACCATGATTCAAATTAACTGATATTCTCTTGAAGGATCTCAGGATACTGACATAAAAACTGGCATTATTTAAGTGCTTATGAAGTTCTTCTGCTAATAGATTCAGCATGTTAACAACTATCGCTTTACTTTCTGTCCATGTGCAAGAAAACATGGAGTAGAAATTGAGGGAAATTAGGGGCGCCTGGGTGGCTCAGTGGGTTAAGTGTCTGCCTTCAGCTCAGATCATGATCCCAGGGTCCTGGGATAGAGCCCCACATCAGGCTCCCTGCCCAGTGGGAGGTCTGCTTTCCCTCTGCCCCTCCACCGCTCACACTCAAACTCTCTCTTTCTCTATTTCTCAAATAAATAAAATCTTAAAAAAAAAGAAAGAAAATGAGTGAAATTAATTTAAAGGAGGAATGTGTTGATCTATATCATAGATAGGCTAACTACAGCCCATGAACCACTGTTTTCATAGATGAAGTTTTTTGTTTTTTATTAATTAATTAATTAATTTGACGGGGGGGGGGGGGGGAGGGAGATCAAAAGTAGGCAGAGAGGCAGTCAGAGAGAGAGAGGGAGAAGCAGGCTCTCCGCTGAGCAGAGAGCCTGATGCGGGGCTCGATCCCAGGACCCTGAGATCATGACCTGAGCCGAAGGCAGAGGCTTAACCCACTGAGCCACCCAGGCGCCCCATCAAGTTTTATTGGCATGTGGCCATCATTTACATACTCTCTAAGACAGCTTCTTGTGCTAGGATGATTGAGGTGGGTAGTTGCAGTAGAGACCATATGCCCAGAAACTGAAAATATTTACTACGTGGCTGTTTACAGAAAAGTTTGCCAACCCTCGATCTAAATGAAAATATATGAACATGTCCTTCGCCGTTATGCATGTTAAACTATCTTTTTTGGGTGTAAGTTTCTTTAAAAAACTAATTTTCTTAAAAAAAAAAATCCTTGCAGATTTCTTTTAGTTTGCATATGGTCAGTAACATCACTACACACACTTGTTGAATGACAAATGCCCACAAGTATTTTGAACGAGTTGCTGATTCATCACTAACTTTCTAGAGACATGGAGCTTAATTTTTAAACACTTTCATCTCCTTGAGAGCACGCAGCCAAGAGTTGATTACAAAAGGTTTTTTAAAGTATTACCATGCAATGAGATAAAGATCTGTATCATATAATAAATAAGAAACTATTGTAGCAAGAGCTTAAAATTGCTCTGTAGGCTGTGCCAACATTACTCCGCCCCCACCCCACCCCTGCATGCATAGTGTGACTCAGGACCTGTCGTTTCTGCCCCTTTCCGTTGACCCAAAGGGGGGCCAGGCAACTTGACGTGTGTCTTAAATTGAAGGCAAGGACCACAGCACAATGAGCTGGTATGACGATGATGTGTGGCTGGAAGGGACAGGAGCCTGAACACCTCTCCCGCCTTGTAGTGACAGTCAACTGTCCCTCATTGCTTGTATCTGTTCACGTTTCACTTCATCAGAGAGTGCTTCATATAGTCCTTGAAAGAACTTGCCTTCCTTCAAGAAAGGATCTGGAAAGTGCCAGGTTGTCACTGAGGGTTCTCTCTGATCACATTCAGTCTTCTCTGATTGTGGGAGAACTCCCTTTTCTTCAAGCCCATCCCACACAGCATCAGGCAGGACCATGGTGGAAAGCTGGAAGAATTAGATAGAGGTTCGCAAACTGATATCAGCTTATTAAAAAGCAGTGGATAGAGGGCGCCTGGGTGGCTCAGTCATTAAGCCTCTGCCTTCGCTCAGGTCATGATCCCAGAGTTCTGGGATCAAGCCCCACATCTCAGGTTCCCTGCTCAGTGGGAAGCCTGCTTCTCCCTCTCCCACTCCCCCTGCTTGTGTTCCCTCTCTCCCTCTCTGTCAAATAAATAAAATAAATCTTTAAAAAAAAAGCAATGGTTAATAATAATAATGCTTTTTTTTTTTTTTTTTAAATAATAATGCTTTCTTACAGAAGTGAAAAGTCCCGGATACATATTGTCAGGGCAGGATGTCTAGACCGCAGGTATGAACTGCAACTGTCCTCTGTTCTTAAGCCAAGTCAGAAGCAGAGGGAAGGGGGCAGCTGGGTGGCTCTGTTGGTTAAGCATCTGACCCTTGATTTCGGTTGAGAGATTGAGCCGGGTATCTGGCTCTGTGCTGGGTGTGGAGCCTGCTTAAGATTCTTTCTCTCCCTTTATCTCTGCCCCTCCCCACATTCTCCCTCTCTCTGAAAAACAAACAAACAAACAAACAGGCAGAGGGAAAAGTTAACCCTTAAAAGTTACATAAAGGTGTTCCCTTAACACGATTGGGCTGTCTGTAACTCTACTTAGAAAGCAGGCTCACTCTCTGATTTTATTGCCATTTGCAAAATCTCTTCCTCTGACAATTCATACCATCATCATATAAAGCCGACTGTAAAAATTAACTACTTTCTTTCTACATAGACCTCAGCTTAGTTTTGTTTTTTTTTAAATGGCATTTTTTTAAAGGAGGTTTGACATCCCCTGTGGGGATTGAACTCAGACCCTGAGATCAAGAGTCGCATGCTCTCCTGACAGAGTCAGCCAGTCTCCCTAAAAGCATTTTTTTATGTATTTATTAAATTTATTTATGTATTTATTTATTTGAGAGAGAGAGAGAGAGAGCACCAACAGTGGGGAGGAGCAGAGGGAGGCACACGGCATTAATCAGAGAGCCTGATGTGGGGTTTGATTCCAGGACCCTGAGATCATGACCTGAGCTGAAACCAGGAGTTGGCGCTTAACAGACTGAGCCCCCCAGGCGCCTCCAGACAGCATTTTAAATGTACACTTTTTGTTTATTTTGCTGTTGTAATTTGCTGAGGTAGAATCCTCTCTACTCGTTCATTTGGTTCCCTCTGTTCTTCTCCGTTCGTCATTCAGTCACCAAATATTTTCGTCCCCACTATGTACCAAGCACCATAGCAGGAGCAGAGACACAATGGTGAATGAGGCAGAAATGGTTCGACCTTGGCAGGACACACCATGAACTTCCCCAGGCCTTATTGTCAGGGAGCACAAGGGGCATTGTCTTCCTCGGTAACATCCAGAAGAAAAAGGCGCTTTCACTGTGGCTCAATTTCGTGTGTTGTACTAGGATGGCCGTAGCTTCTGACAGAAGGTTGTCACCTTTTTCAAGCAGTCTTTTGCTTCTTTTGGCTCACCTTCACCCCCGGAGCAGTATCTGGAGCTGTCCCGAGAGGTCCGGCACTACGGGTACTGGCGGCTGGATCCATGTACCTGTGACTACCCACAGCCAGGCTGTGGGGCCGTCCTCTCTGTTGGCAAGAATGAGATCAGCTGCTGCATAACCCTGCCTGATAACCAGACCCAGGAAGTCATTTTCCAGATGGACAGAGTGAAGCGCTGGCAGGTCACTTTCCTTGTAAGTATCTTGGCACTTGAAAGTGATTTAAAGTCTCTACTTTGGTTTAAAAATCCTCTTGTCTTGGATGACAAAGTTGGCAGTAGGGAGGTGGTTCTGCCATTTGCATCACTACGTTGAGTGGACCAGCATCTAAGCCACACGAAGCATCGCCCGACGGTCAAAGCCGTCTATCATCTGGTTCAAGTGTCCCGTCTATAGCAGTAGAGACACCCACCTTCCCACTTTGCCGTGACAGGCTTCTCTACTGCTTGGAGGCTGGCTATAGTACAAGAGCATAGAGAAACAATGGCTGCTGTTTGTGGAATTCCTAACACAGACTCAGGACTGACAAGATCTCTACCCTTGAAAATGAGACGCTGACCAGTAGAGCTCTTCTTAAGGATCCCCTTCAATCATACCTACATTGCCATCTCCTCCCAGAGAATACCCTATGATCAGATGTACGGGAGTGCCTCCTTTGGGTCAGATGCTGTTCTGAGTGCTGCCACATCTACTATTTAATTAAATTCTTGCAATAACTCAGTGAGCTAAGTGGGATTATCCCCTTTACACGGGAAACTGAGGTTAACTAGGAGAGGACAAACTCTGTTAGAGTAACTGTAATCCCCAGTTGCTAAGTCTGCAGAATCCATGGGGATTTTTTAGCTGGGACAATACTAGGCCTGTTTGTGGCACTAGGTGTTGTCAACCATTTCTTGCTTCTCAGAATTCCCTCTCCTTCCTTCCCTGTTTTTGTGAGCCGCCTCTTCCTCTGAGCATTTCTGAAGCCCTCATTACCCCTGGGGATCCATTTCCATCTTTCTACTTTGTATTCTCTGAAATCAATTGCCTACATCCCTATGGAAAGGTCCAATATTTCCTAATGCCTTCTAGGCATCGACACCAGGTGTCGCACAGACATCCTTGCCCTCTCCTGCCCATCCTAGGGATCTTCCCCCTCTGTTTTCCCCATTTTGGGAAATAGGACTTCAACCACCTGCTAAATGCCGAACCAGCAATCTTGACATGACAAGCCTATGATTTTAGTCTTTTAAATTTGTGGGAACTTGTTCTATGGACCCAGATCTAGTCTCTCTTGGTAAATGTTCCATGTGTACTTGAAAAGAATGTGTATCCTGTCACAGTTGGATGGAATATTCTAGAAGTATTAGGTCAAGCAGTTGACAGTGTTCAGATTTCCTCTATCCTTGTATATTTGTATTTTCTTGTATATTTTCTTGTATATTTCTTGTATATTTTCTACTGGTTGCTGAGAGAAGAGGAATGTTAAAACCTTCAGACCTAATTGTGGATTTGTCTATTTCTTTGAGGTTTATCAGCTTTCCCCCTCTTTTCCTGCCTTCTTTTGATTATTTCATGATTTGATTATTTTATGATTATGAAAAAAACTTTATTTACACCATTTTTTTTAGCTCTACCTTTTCATTTATATGTTACTTTAGACTTTCTTGTATACTTAAACTTATTACATTCCACTTTTAATTATTATACCACATCACAAAATGCATAACAACATTGTACTTCTATTTTCCCTTTTGTGATAGTTATTGCCATATTTCCACAAATATAAGCCTCATGCTGCATTATAATTATTTTTGCTTTTAAACAGTTGATTCTTTTGGGGTGCCTGGGGGGCTCAGTGGGTTAAGCCTCTGCCTTCAGCTCAGGTCATGATCTCAGGGTCCTGGGATCAAGCCCCGCATTGGGCTTTCTGCTCAGCAGGGAGCCTGCCTCCCCCTCTCTCTGCCTGCCTCTCTGCCTACTTGTGATCTCCGTCTGTCAAATAAATAAATAAAAATCTATAAATAAATAAATAAATAAATAAATCAATAAAGGCAATGGGAAAAAGTTCTTTAAAAAAAATAAATAAACAGTTGATTCTTTAAAGCTTTGAATTTGGATGTAACTGTAAGTTGGCATGCGGTTGTAAGGAATGGTACAGAGATCCTGTGAACTCTTCACACACTTTTCTCAAATTGTTAGTTACACCTTGCAGTACGACATCGACACCAGAATATTGGCATTGATACAAGCAAGAGTCCTAGCATTTTCATCATCCCAAGAACCCCTCATGTTGGCCTTTTATGGCTTTACCTGCTTTCTCTCACCACACCTCTCTTTAGCCCCCAGGAACCACTCATCTGTTATTTTTATAATTGTGTCATTTCAGGAGTGCTTTTAAAACTTTGGGTGATGGATATATCCATTACTTTGAGTATGTTGATGGTTTCATGAATGTATGCATATGTCCAGACTCATCAGGTTGTGTACATTAAATATGCGCAGGTTATTTTTTACATCAGTTATACCCCAATAAAACTGCTAAAAAAAAAAAAAAGGAGACACTCTTAAAACAAGGGTATGTACTGATCAGCTGATGAAACTGTTGTGACCAGAGGTTTGCAGGAACCTAACGCTGCATTTCCCCTGGAGCAATGACTCGGTGTTCAGTAATGCTACTAGTGAATAATAAAAACTAACTGCATTTAGGAGACAAAAATATAAAAAAAAAGAGGAATTGATTACCTTAAAAATGGTCTCTAAATGAAATCGTATGTAGGTTTTTTTTTTTACTCAGCATCATTCTTTAGTAATTCGTTCAGGTTGTTGTATATGTCGGTAGTTTGGTTCTTTTTATTGCTGAACAGTATTCCATGGTATGGAATGGACAAGATTTATTTCACCAATCAGCCAATGAAAGATACCTGGTTGTTTCCAGTTTTTAGCTATAATGAATGAAATTCATACATCTGTTTTGGGACACAAATCTCCACTTCTGTGACATAAATGCTAGGGGGTACAATTGCTGGGTTATATGCAAGTTGCATCCTTAGTTTTTTAAGAAACTGCCAAACGGTTTTCAAGAGTGGCTGTGCTAATTTCCATTTCCACCAGTGATGGCTGCATGACTGATGGAGTTTCTCTGCAGCCTCAACAGCATTTGGTATTGTCACTGTTTTTTTAGTTTAGTCATTTGCCTAAGTGTGGGATGGTATTTCATTGTGATTTTAATTTGCATTCCCCTCCTGGCTAATCATGTTGACCATCTTTTCATGTGCCCATTTGCCATCTGTATATCTTCTTTTGTGAAATGTTTTCTTCCATATCTTTTGCCTATTTTCTAATTGATTGTTGGTTGGTTTTTTTTTTTAAGATTTTATTTATTTATTTGACAGACAGACATCACAATTAGGCAGAGAGGCAGGCAGAGAGAGAGGTAGAGAGAGGAGGAAGCAGGCTCCCTGCTAAGCAGAGAGCCCCATGCGAGACTCCATCCCAGGACTCTGGGATCATGACCTGAGCCGAAAGCAGAGGCTTTAACCCACTGAGCCACCCAGGCGCCCCATGTTGGGGTTTTTTTGTTTATTTGTTTTTTGTTTTTCATTTTTCACTATTGTTTTGAGAGCACTTCATATATTCTAGTTACTAGTCTTTGGTTGGATATGTGGTTTGCAAGTATTTTCTCTTAACTCTAGTTTTTCATCCTCTCAACAAGGTCTTATGCAGAGGAAAAGTTAATTTTGATGAATTTCAATTCATCAGTTTTTTCTTTTATAGATTGTGCTTTTAGTGTTGAGTTGGAGAACTCTTTGCCAAACTCTGGATCCTGAAGATTTTTTTCTTAGAGTTTTTTCCTAAAGGTTTTACAGTTATAGGTCATACATTTAAGTCCATGACTCATTCTGAGTTAGTTTTCATCTAGGGTGTGAAACTCAGAATGACATTCCCTTTTTTGCCTGTGGAAGTCCACTAGCTCAGAACCATTTGTTGCAAAGCCTGTCCTTTAACTGACTTGCTTTTGCACCTTCGTCAGATATCAGCTGGGCACATTTGTGTGGATTTATTTCTGGATTCTCTAGTCTGTTCCATAATTCATGTGTATATCCCTCCCCCAGTACTACATACACAGTCATTCCCTTCCTTTGTAACAGCTTTATCAAGATATAATTTACATACCATACAATTCACTTATATAAAGTGAATTCAGGGGCATTTAATTCATTCACAGAGTTTTACATCCATCACCACAATCAATTTTAGAATACTTTCATCACCTCAGAAAGAAGTCTCATATCCCTTAGCTTACTCCTATAAGCTACCTACCAGCCCTAAGAAGCCACTACTCTGCTTGTCTTTATAGATGCACCCATTCTGAGCATTTCATGATTAATGGAATCATATGTGACCTTTGTGACTGGCTTCCTTTACTTGGTATAATGTTTCTAAGGTCCACTCTTATCATAGCATGTACCAACACTTTATCTTCTTCGTGGTCATATGACATTTTGTTGTATGGATATACTAAATTTTGTTTATTCAGTAATGTTTCTTTTGGTTGTTACAAGTTATGCTGCTATGAACATTTGCGTGCAAGTTTTTGTGTGGACATAGGTTTTCATTTCTCTTGAGTATATGATTGGGAGTGGAATTGCTGGGACTATGTTGGTAATTCCATGTTTCACTTTGTAAGAAACTTCTAGACTATTTTCCAAACAGTCTGCTCCATGTTATATACCCTCTGGCGGTGGATGAGTGCTCTCCCCACACTTGCAAAGATCGTTATTCAGCCGAAGGTCTGAAGAGAGCTCTCTAGAGCTCTTAGTCTGTGTAAAGCCCTTGTCTGTGATCCTCTGCCCCAGGGATTCTAAACTCAATTTCTTCAAACTTTCATCCCTTTCTCCTCAACTCAGCAAGACCTCTGGGCTCTGTTTGGGGTCCCATTCCCTCCACTGTCTCCTGGAAACTCCAAGCAGTAGGCTAGGTGGCTGTAGGGCTCACCTCATTTGTTTTCCTTCTCCCTGGGTTAATAGTCCTGGATTCTATGTGGTTCAGTATCTGAAAACAGCTATTTTTCAGTTCCTTTTCACCCTGATGCAGTCAGATGAATACTTCTAATACATAAATCTAATCATGTTGTTATCCAGCTTTTAAAATCAGTGAATGCATGCCTGTTGCCCTCAAAATGAAGTTCAGACTCCTTAACTTAGCTTATCAAACCTCGAACAGCTAGGGCTCTTTGGTGGCCAGCAATAGAAAGCAACACTTCTGGCTTTAGTGAAAAAAGGGGATTTATCAGAGAGGCATGGAATAACCCAGTGACTCAAAGGAAGGCAGAGGCAGAGGCTTAGGAAAGTCAAGAACAAAATGAGCTCAGTGTTTCTAGGAAAGAAGGAATTCTTTATCAGGACATGCTCTTTGGATCTCTCCACTCTGGAATCAAAGAAGGCGCATAGAAGGCATTTGTCCAATTAGCCTGAACTTGGGTCATGTGCCCCGGCCTCCAGGAGGGCAGCGTTCCCTGACAGCCCTACCTACATGGGCATAGGGAAAGAGAGACGGTTTTCCCAAGGGCACTGGAAACTCCATTACTAAGAGAAAGAGGGATAGATGCTGTATAGCAAAAGTCAAATCTGCTTCCTCCAGAGTCCTCAAGATCTGGCCCCACACTGCCTCTCTGAGGTGAGCCTCTTCTCTCACCACCCTGCCTGCCTTGCAGCCTGTGCTTCCGCCACACTCAGTCTCTTGCCACGTGTCCAGTGTGCCAGGTCCCTTCATGCCTCAGTAAACTTGCACTTGTTATTTCTTCTACCAGAACCACTTCCCACTGCGCCTGCACCCACCTCCCCCTCCAAAAACCCCACAACAACAAACATGGAAAATTTCTACTTCTGCTGCTCAGATATCACCGCCTCCCTCCAGGAAGCCTGCCTTGACCCCTCTGAGTCTGGATCAGGTGTCCATCCTACCCCTTCCATAGACCTGGGTTTGCTTCCCTTATACTATTTATCATACCAAACTGTGTGGCTTACTTTCACAGCCCCTCATAGACTGACAGCTTCCTGGCAATAGTGATGGTATCACTCGTTTTGGTATTTGCCCAACAGTTAATAGCTGCTTCCATTTCTATCAGATATCAAATAATCTCTTTTCTCTGTAGGGAACTCTGCTGGATACAGATGGACCCCAGCGAACTCTCAACCAGAACTTGGAGCTCCGATTTCAGTTTAGTGAAGAGAATCGCTGGCCCTGGTTTGTTATTTACACCAAGCAGGTGAGTTCTCGGGGCAGCGCATGAGAACCAGCGCTGAAATGCTCTCTTGCTTGCTGGGGTGAACAAAGCATATTACTCTTACCCAACTGAGCAGGGTCTTAGAATATGCTATACATCCTCCTTTTTGGCCTGTAACACTGTTGGGTTGTTGATTTTTGGTTTGGGGTTTTTGTTTTTTTTTGTGGGGTTTTTTTTTTGGTTTATTTTTTGTTTCATTTCATTTTACTAGTCACCACAGCCTTCAGGTCAATTAGAAATAGTTGTAGTTACTAAATAACGGGAGACACAACTAATAGTGGCTTAGACAAAGTGTTGGTGAACTTCCTCTCAAAGGGCCAGATGGTAAATAGTTTAGTTTTGGGGTCCATCTGGTCTCTGCTACAACTACCGAACTCTGTTATAGCACAAAAGTAGCCACAGACAATGTGTGAACAAACGGGTATAGCTGTTTGCCAATAAAAATGTATAAAAACAAGTGAGGGGCTGGATTTATTGACCTCTGACTTAGACAATATGGATTTTCATCTCACTTAACAAGAATACTAGAGAAGATTGATACCCCTTTTATCTGGAAGGCAAAAGCCCAATAGACTTCCCATTATGTCTCACTGACCAGAAGTAAGTCACATGACCACTCCTAGCTAGCTGCAAGGGAGTCTGGGAATCAAGTATCTAACAAAAAAGAACAGAATTCATGATCACCCTAAAGTAAGTGTGAGCTGGGCCCTTTGTCATCAGACAAAATCCAGGTTCTATGAGGAGAGGAGAGACTGTTGGACAGCAAACTATGCAGGTTTTCCATGACTTTATAACTGAAGTTGGAATAAATTAAAAAAAAAAAAACCAATTTTCTAAACACCAAATTCAGCTGAAAAATTCTATGAACTAACTCAAGCTATTTCAAATTGGAATCAAAACTACAAACATTCTAAAATGAAACCAAAATACCAAAGTAATCTTTGCATCAACATTTCATTCAACTTAAGTCTTTGGTGATTGCACTACGTTCCATGGAGCATTTTGGTTTCAGTAACAAAAGCTCCCCAAGACTCTCTGCTTTTAGTATAGTTGCAATCACAAGATGATAGATACCAAGGTCCTCTGAAAAAACATGAAATGCGAAACCAAATTCTAGGTTAAAGAAATGGGCCGTCAGGTTCACCTTGAATATGAAACATCCTTAGGGAAATGGTAGGATGGTTTGCAGTCACTTGGAGAGATGCAGCTAGATCTTGGCAATGAAATTGCCTTCCCTTGCCCAGAATGCTAAATGCAGTAGTTAAATTTTATTATGGTCTTTTAATCTAGTCTGTACCAAATGAGTTTAAGCCGCTACAGAGAGGGCAATAAACATTCTTTTAAAGGATTCCTAGTAAGGTCTTATTTCCTTTGGAGTGTGGGTTTATTGATACACACCCAAGCTACTTCTGCAAAAGGCAGAAATGTGGCTTGTGTGCCTTGGCAAATATAAATGAAGGCTGGGACCCCAATATTTTTTAGACCCTTTAAACAATAGCTCACTGCCTCTATATTGAATAAATCTTACCTGGTTTATAGCCAAGTCTTAACCTACATATCTGTGCACATTGTATGGAATATGGAATCAGTCCTCATCTTTTATTAAAAAGTATTATTAAACACCCTTCCATGCTCTATCAACTCAGTGTATGTTGTTTAACTCTTTCATACCCTGGTTTTATGTAGGTTATAGATATGCACAGATAAACAGGGTTAGTTTTTAGCTAAACCAGGAAATCAAAATTTGTTTTTGTACATAAATCCCACCTCTTTTACTCTTTTCCTTATTGGTAGTAGTGCCTTCCTTCTCTTCTACCTCCTTTTCTCCCTTTAAATAAATTAAATTCTGGTGAAGCTCTACAGTCCTGCAAGACTTTGAGATGCTACCCATATGTAGCCATTCTCCCTCTAATTCTACTTTCTATGTCCTATCCTCCAAGAGTCTCTGCTTTGGCTACCATCCCAACCTGGGTTTTCTCTCTTTGCTTCCTCCTCCTCTCCATCACCGCCCTCCCTTCAGTGCCGGTGACCATCCTTGGGCATAAATTTATACTAAGGGCCTGCAACCTCAAGCTTTAAGCTTTGTCTCAAACTTTAGTAGGGCCAAAAGAGAAAAGTACAAGCCAAGTATTGAGAACAGGACAAAGGAAAAAGAGGATTAGTGGGAAAGGAGCAAGCAGGGAAGTCATAGGGAAACTTAAATTGGCATGTGGAGTGAAGTTCCTGGAAAAAGGAAACCCCAGCTCTTGTGGACAAGATATCTAATGTGGGTCTTGACACTGACAACGATGAGCCAACAAGAAGTCACAGGTGATACTGGGAGCAACCATCAGTCTTAAAAGTGAGTGATTAAAGGTGCCTGAAAAATAAGAACATGATGAAAAATAGGGGTTTTTTTTAGTTCGGTAAAAGCCACAATGTGCTAATATACCCTTTCAAACAGGTTACTATTTATGTCTAGTAATAGGTCTCTCAATAATAATGTATACAGTTAAATGTAAGATCAACCATCCTCCATTGATGTGATTACAATAATAAGTAAGTACTTTTTGTTATTTGTTGCTTGTTATTTGAGCTGCTTAGAAAGTAATGTGAAAAAATAGGAGGGAAAATTTTAAGAGGGGAAAAATTAGGAAATGTAATGATTCTCTGTCTTTTTAAAAATTTACTCTAAGTACATCCATGTAATTAAGGAAATGTATGGCTACTTGTTAATTGCATCTTATACAAATTTATGGAAATTAAAGATGAAATCTAAATTCTTAAAAGCATGCTGTTGGAGAGCAGAGTTCAAAATCTGCTTTGTGGTGTGAGGAGGGAAGAAAGGCAGGATCTCTTCAGTTGAGCGATTTCTTTATTTCTGGATTCTTTAGGCTTTTTTGCTGAGTAGCTGCTTGAAAAAGATGATCTCAGAAAAGATGGTAAAGCTAGCTGCAGAGAATCCAGAAATGGTAAGTGCTCTTATCTGTGTATCTTTTTCACTTTAAATTCCTACCATCAGCCAACATTAACTAACTACAGGGATGAATTCTGGTCCTCTGTGATAGAACCCAACCTCCCAGAAGTAAGCTCCTCTGCCTTCTCTAAAGAGCTCAGTCTTTAGAATTCAAGCCATTTTTTCAAGAGAAGTGTCCTTCTATTGCTCTCTATTCTTGTATCTCTGCTTTCTCCCAAATGGAAGATTCCAGATTTACCATAAAAACTACATCATAAAGTCAGGATCCAGAGGGGTCTTAAATACAGCAGCAATGAACTTAAATAAGCTCTATACTTCTGTCTCTTGAAAGAACTCACAGTTTCTTGAAGCTTCCAATGTGCCAAATTAGAATGCCATTAGCAGTCTAAGGAAGCCATAGAGAAAAAGAACTTCTTAAGGCTGTAAATTGTTCTCAGTGTAAAATTAAACTTTGCTTTTCTAGTCTGTATCTCTTCAATAAAGGCCTGGTAACTCTTTAAGAGGGCTGTGGCAGACTGTAAAAAGAGAAACTGAGATTTTAAACTTTTCAACTTGCCTTGTCACCATCATGATATAAGCATATCCTGAATAAGACAGTACAATTGGAATTTTTAAAATGATTACAAATACTCATACTTTAGTATTACTAATACTAATACCAATACAAATACAAATACTTTTTTAAAATACTAATGCCTGGTTGACATGTATAAACTTTTTATTTTTTTTTAGCAGAATGTTATACTGATCCTTAAAAATGCAACAGAAACAGAAACATTTGGAAATGTTCCCTAATGTTTTCATTTAAATTGAATCCTTTATAAAGAGGATGGGTGACATCTTTCGTTAAACACTGCTTTTTACTAGACTTTGAGTCTAGTAAGAACTAGAGAAAATAGTTGCATTTTCTCCTTATTTCTCTTTCTTCTAGAACTGAAAATATTTTCATAGGGAAAATAAAATTTACTGCCCCTTGGTATTCAAACAATTCAAAGTGTACCATAGAGTAGCAAATCAAGCAATGAAGGAATCATGGATGGTCTTTTTTAAAGAGTCATAAAAATCTAACCTCTGAGGCAGGATGGACCCCCGTAGGCTTCCATTATTATATATAAAAAAAGAAGAAGAAAAAGTTGTTAACTGAAGTAGCCCCATTAAAGGGAGAAGTACTCTTAAATGTGGCTGAATAAAATGTAAGCTACTTGATGTAGGAAATACTTGTACAATGAGTAGCTAAAGCATTTGCTGAATAATAGAAGGTAGTGACCTATTTAAAGTTAAAAAAAAAAAAAAAAACACAACACTAACCACATTCTTTAGATTTGCACACAAATTGAAACCTATCCTTTCCCTCGGCAGATAGTGAAATCATCGTGTCAGTCAGCATTGCATTGCTTAATCCAAATAATCATAAGTTTTAGTTCCACAAGCTCCTTTTTTCCCCCCTTTCTTGTTTTGGTTCTTAGAAAGAAAAGTTAAGACACTTCCTCTGGAAAATCGGGGTTTTGAGGCACCTGGGTGGCTCAGTCAGTTAAGCATCCAACTCTTGATTTCAGTTCAGGTCATGATCTCGGGGTCCTGGGATCAAGCCCTGCGTCACGTTGGGCTCTGCACTCAGCAGTTGGTGGGGGCAGATCTGCTTGAGATTCTCTCCCTCTGACCCTCCCCCTGCTCACTCTCGCTCCCCCTCTCTCTTTCTCTAAAATAAGTAAAAAAAATTTTTTCTTAATTAAAAAAAAAAAAAAAAAAGAAAATTGGTTTTTCAAGGTGATATTATAGGGATAGTCCATATTTCAACCCAAAATTTCATCTACAAACCCCTGGGTAGAATGAGATCCTGGAAAGTGAAAATTGCAGACAGAGCAGTTCTTTGAATGTATACTGAGTTCTGGGTTTCCTCACAAAGCACAGTTGACCAGAACAAGTCATTTTGTGGAACTTTAAGTAGCCATATAAATGTGTGACTGTGACATCCACTCATTTTCTAGGTAAACACAGAAAATCTGAACTGACATGTATCACTTATTAAAGGCTTATATGGACTAGGATCCAGATCCTATTTTGCAAGGTAGAATAGATTCTAAGATTTTGAAAATCATGAAGAATCTGGAGAGGGGGGAGAGAAATTGAGGAAACTGTAACCAAATGAACCCCATAAATCAGATAGTTCCTAGAAGCAGATTAAATAGTACTATTTTATCCTAGTAAGAAGGAAGGCTTTGAAAGAAGAAATTTAGTGCTAACTTAATTAACTTAGCTATATGCATTGCTTTCAATGATAAGACTTGAACCGTTTCTGAAGAGATCATTAAAATTTAAAGTCAAATGCACTAAAAAAAGTGAACATACAACAATATCATGTTATATTCTTTTAAAGGCAGTATTAACTGCAAACCAGAAGGGGAAAAATTGTAACATTCTTTTTAGAGCTGTGCTCCTACGCAAAAACCTGTAATCAACAAATTTTGTTATTATTTGCTCCTTTTAACTAAAACAGAATTTTAAGAAATATTTTATGTGAAAATAAAGTGTATTTGTTACCAGTAGGTTTAGCTATATATAATGAAGAGCAAAACAAGACAGAAGAAGTGTCCTAGGTAAAATAAAAGTCTGTATCTTTCTCATCTAAAAGAAACTCAGAAGTAGGCAGTCTAGAGCTGGAATAGTGACTCCATGATGTCATTAGAGACCTTTCTGCTCTGCCATCTTTAGTGTGTGGCTTTACCTCATGTTTGAAGATGGCTGCTGGAGCTCCAGTCGTTACATCCACACCCTAGGCAGAAGTATAAACGGAAAGTAGGAATGGCTCATCTCTCTTCTTTGAGGAGGGGTCCCTGAAGTCCCACAGATTTCAACTTATAGTTCATTGGCCAGGAGTTAGTCACACCACAGGCCTATACCTACCTGCAAGGGAGTCTGGTAAATGTAGTCTTTTTACAGGTTATGTTGTCTCTCCAGATTAATTTGGATGGCATTACTAAGAAAGAAGGGCAGAATGGAAAATAGGGTGGGCTACCAGCAATCTCTGCCATTGAAAGAAATTTAAAGGACATTAAGAAAAGGAAGCAGATATATTTTATGCAATAGATGTGTTCCTAATGAGTTTCTGAGAGTGTAACATTATTATCTTGTATATTGAACCATAATCTGAATATATGCAAGAGATCAGGAATAAGAAGGTGACTAATTTTCTGAATTGAAAAACAACTTAGATTTTTTATTAATCCATACCTAGTTTGTTTTATTAGTTTGTATATTTTTTCCTTAGGTTTACTAAAAAGTGATTCTGAATCTCTAAATTGGTTTTCTGGGAATGTCAGACTTCGCAGAGTTGGTGCTATTTAGAAAACAGAAAAGTACAGGTACATCACAGCCCACTTGAGAATGGTGTGAGCATAGCAGGTAGACAGAATTTTAGAGAGCCAGGCGGAAATTACCCTGTGAGAGTAAGTAGTTATTAAAAGAAACTATGTGTTGATGAATAAGCATATATAGGAACACTGTGTTATGAAAAAAGGATTTGTTCGCTTCCTCCCCCCAATTTTATTCCCCCTAGTATATAAAATATTTAAAGCTCTTATTTGAGTAAGTCAAGGAAACAGATATCAGAAATAGCTTAACATCTATTCTGTTTTATTTATTTCAACATAGGGAGAGGAGGAAGGGGAAGGAGAATAGGAGAGAGAAACATTCTGAGCTGTTTACGCCAACATCTGTATTTCATTGCACAAGGCTACTTACGAGCGATAACGTAATATCTTAAACAATAACAATAATACTATAACAAAACATGTAAGACAACAGGGCATAAATTTCTCATTTACCCAGACTTAATAACTGATTTTTTTAAAAGATTTTATTTATTTATTTATTTATTTGATAGAAAGAGAGTGAGTGGGGAATGGGGCAGAGGCGGTGGGAGAGGGAAAGGGGGGGAATCTCAAGTAGCCTTTGCACTAAGCACTGAGATTATGACCTGAGCCAAAACCAAGAGTCAGACCCTTAACGGACTGAGCCACCCAGCTGTCCCTAGTAACTGATTTTTTTTTTTTAATTATTAAGCTGGTCTTCAAATACATGAACATACCTATTAATACTAACCTAAAGGAAGTCCTTTGCATCCTTCAAAGCAATCTATTTTATAACAATATTAACTGTAGTTCAAAGGCAACGCTCTTTTGCGGTGTCATGTTACTTATCCCACTTATTTTGAAATGTTCTTCCTCCTTATATTCTCATGAAGAATAAGCAGTAATAAACAATTCACACCTCATTCATTTTTTTTTCTCACATGTCATTCTTGCATTTACAAATGCCTCTATTTACCAGGCAGTGGTTGGAAACTCGAGGATCCAGAGTCAAAGACTTTATGTGTTGGAGGAGAGAGGCGGTAGAGTGATACGTTAAAACCCATATCTTAACACTAGTGGCTGAGAAGAGTGTTCTTTTCCTTGAAGAAGCGTCTAGGAGTTCCTTCTCCTGAGCCCTGCCCAGGTCACATTTCCTGGCTGTGCCAGGCACCACTTGCCTTTCTCAGTTCCCTGTGCACTCTCCTCCACCCCACTCTGTGCTCTGGAGACACATCTCCGTGTGTTGCCATCTTGCTCTCGGGCCTTCTACTGGGGTCACCCATGGGAAAACCCAGCCACGCTGGATGGAGCGTGGAAGAAAAGTGAGATTTTGGGATTTATTTCTCCAGTTCTGTCGCTGCCGGGTCTCTGTGGTCGGCACAGCCTTCTGCTGAGGGCCAGGCTCCTGGAGGTGGCCTCTCCTCCCCACAGCTCTGGCTCCCCTCATTCCAGTACCAGCTGCTCCCCCTGCCCCTTCCGGCCTAGGAGTGGAAAACATTACCCTCCAGCCCCTCACAGCGAGCCCCTGGGGGCTCCAACATCCCTTTGCTGATTCATTTAATCCTGTCTGCACCTCCATTAAATAGTTCCTTTTTAAAAAAAACTGCTCCTCAGGAGTGTGCCATCTGTTTTCTGCCGGGACCCTGACTGTTATATTAAGTTTACCTCATGTACGGGAGGTATATTCAAGTGTCTTGAACTTCCATTTGATCTTCACTTGATTCATGGTGCCTTTTGATTAATCAAAGCCCCATTTGGCTTTGATTCAGCGTATGGATTGGGGCTCTGTGGATTATTTCAGGATTTAGGAGTTCATTTCGTGTGAAGTCCTTTTGGAAGCTGTGTTAAATCACAAAATCTATAGGCAACCACTGGTGTTAAACGCGAACCTTCACTTCACTTTCAGGGGCTCCATTTCTGCCACGTTTGTATATTTGCAAATGAAGGGGGGATGTGTGGATGGGAAGCAGGTGTGCCTGCTGACTGGCAGTCTTGGAGACCATTAAGAGGATTATTGTAGAAGGGGAAACGTGCTAGTTAAATAGATTATTTGTGTGCTTGCTTCTCCAGGCTGTGCTGACTGACATTTTACTAATCTATTTAGCAGATGGAAGTTCCAGAACACGGCAAACGTAAAAAACACCGCGTTCAACAAAGCCAGGTCTGTGAGTAAAATGATGTAATTGAGACATTACAATTTTGATAAATCTGTCCTTTTCCCCCTTTAAGTAACCAAAGTCATTCATTCTACTTTTAAGAACAAGCCAGAATTTTCTCCCCCAGAAGCTCTTCCACATAGGATTGTGCCAATGGGAGGACCACCAGAGAAGGATAGTATTTTTACTGTAGTACCCAGCAGGGCCGGGAGACACACTCTCCTGAATTTTTACATAGAAAATTTCCAAGAACATAAAATCCTTTAGTGATTTTCTCGTACACTCCATGCAGTTTTCTTAAAAATCTTCTTTCTGGTTTACAGTTTCCTTTCATGAATTCTCTGCAATGTACTCTGTAGAAAACAGCCTTTAAGTTTATTAAATACTTTTTGGAGCATTTAGGTCTGTTGGGCAGATAATAATAGTAAATATCAAAGTGGAAAGCATAGTAGGCACTCAGTGCCAGGCATGTTTATGTGGATCACGACATTTATTCTCACCAAAATCCTATAAACCATTGGGGGAAACAGGCACAGAGAGGTTAGGTGACTTGCCCAGGTTGCACAGTAATCAATGGGGGAAAGAAGCAAGATGGTCTGTCTCCAGAGCTGTGCCCTTAACTAACTCTTCCTTTCTACGTTAAAATCCTAGTGTATGTAAGTGAAATAAAGGTGACCTCCAAGTAGCATTTGAATGGGATTTATTATCGATCCATTCCTGTTACACAGTCTGCTTGCTGTGTATATAAATGTACTAAGTATATAAGGACAGTTCTTATGAAAATATAAGGTCCTCTCTTGAGTGACTAAGCTCAGTAAAAAGAAAAAAAAATTTAAACACAGACTAAATGCAAAGTTTACTCTCTTTCATAATACCAGCTTTTCTGGCTGCTTAGATCAGAGATAGGGGGTAAGAACTCCACCACGGACTGGTGGATATGTCTTCAAACAGATCAAAAAACTAAATGTTTAAGGGACTCCTGAGGTGCTTATTAAAATGTAAATTCCCGGGCCCCACTCCAAAAGAGTGATTTAGCAGATCAGCATTTATAGCAAGCACCCCAATGGGGAACACTGCACCGAGGTTCCATTTCTTTACCTGCAAAGTGTAGGTAGTAACCACTCTGTCACTCCCACTCATCCACAGCATAGTGATTAGCACAGAGCTGTGGTTCTCAACCTTGGCTACGCGCTGGAATCACTTGGGGAGCTCTAAAAACAAATCACGGCTGGGCCCCACCCTCAAAGACTCTGACTTAATTGGTCTAGGGTCCTGGCAACAGAATTTTTAAAAGCTCCTCAGGGGATCTAATATACAGCCAGGATTGGAACTATTATCCTGGAACAGTGGTTCTCAAAGTTTGGTTCCCAGAGCAACACCTTCAGCATACCTTGGGAACTTACTAGAAATTTAAATTCTCAGACCCCAAACCTACTTCATCAGAATCCCCAGGGATGGGGGCTAGTAATCTGTGTTTAGCAAGCTCTCCAGATGAGTCTGATGCATGTCAAATTTTGAGAGTCCCTGTTCTAGAACAATAGATAACACATAGCACAACTATGATCAACATTGAAACTAATTCAGATGTCCTCTCAGATGAACAGCAATGCTAAAATAGGCCAACCTCCCTTATGCTCTAAGCAGAGCCAGCATGTCAAAAGTTGTCCAAGTGTACTGAATCCCAACTTATTTAGCAAATCTTTATATAGAGCTTATCCTGAGCCAAGCACTGTTCTAATTGCATTCCACATATAACTCATTTAATCCCCATAACAACCCAGCTATTATTATTATCCTTGGTTTATAGCCAAAGGAACTGAAAACACAGAAAGGTTAAGTAACTTGCTCAAGGTCACACAGCAAGTAAATGACAGAGCCAGTATCAGAACTAAAGCAGTATTTATTTGTTGTTTAACCAGTAAAGTTTGTTTATTTCTTTAAACACTTTGCCATGGGGGCCTCTCTATCAAGACAAATCCCTCAAAGAAAAAAAAAACTTTTTTTTAGCTTATCTGGCCATTAAGGAACATTTGTTTCACCAGGGACAAAGCCATGGCCTTGTCTTTGAGGTTTCATAAATATTGAAGGCCAATTCTTCACTCACTGAGGGTTTATAGCAACCATAACCACTTACAATGTTTTAAAATATAAAACTTGTTAGAAATTTGTATTTGTGTGGGGTGTGCATAAAGATTTGACATAGAGTTAAAAATGGAAAGTTGCATAGCTTTAAGGGGGGGAGGCTGGGGGCGGGGCGGGGGGAGGGTAAAAGGATGAGGGCAGCATCCAAATGTTACCTGGGGACATCCCAGTTCCTGGAAAGGCCCTCTGAACAGGTCTACCTCAGCTACCAGCAGGAGGCACTCTTGGTCCTAACACAGACACCTACCCCAAGACAAAGCTTCTATGGGGAGAAAAAAAAAAACACTTGAAATAACCATCTTTTAAATAAATGCAACCTTTCTGTTGCCTTTTTAATATTATTTTAACATTCTTGTGACTTTGTAATTATTATTGTTGTTATGGAAATTATTTCCTCACATACATTTCTGACCTGTTTATTTCACAACAGAAAGATTTTTCTCGTTTTCTACCAAGAAAAAGCAAGATTGAGATGGCGAGTGTTGACTGTGTTTTTGGGACCATAGAGGAAGAAGACCTTTGATGAGAAACTCTCACATTTTTAAATGTCCTCTGGGGCTGTCTCAACAGTGAAAGAGCTTGGGAATTGAAAGTGGGCTGTCCACCAGCAGTGGAAGAAATGGGACCCCTTCACATTTTCTCTTGCCATTAAGATGAAACAAGATGGGCTCGGGAGGGAGACAAACCGCAAGAGACTCTTAATGTCACAAAACAAACTGAGGGTGGCGGGGCGGGGGGCGTAGAGAGAGGGTGGTGGGTTTATGGACACTGGGGAGGGTCTGTGCTCTGGTGAGTGCTGTGAAGTGTGTAAACCTGGCGATTCACAGACCTGTACCCCTGGGGCTAATAATACATTACATGCTTATAAAAAAATTAAAAAATTAAAAAATATATATATAAATGCATTGCAAAAAAAAAAAGATGGACCGTATTCACCAAGGGTACTTCAGAGCTCTATGAATCTTAAGATTAAAAAGAAATACGAACCAAGTTATACACTTTGCTTTTAATGACTCATAAATGACAAGTGGCAAATCCAGATCAGTTAGTATGAAGTTTGTTTGTTTGTTTGTTTGTTTTTTCACTCTAACAGATGTTTACCTGGCTTGATGAGTCTGCTGTATGTTCTGATACTACATGAATGAAAAGCTTAGCATAAAACACTATAAATGTATTTGGGGTTAAGTTCTGAAGACATGACTCAACCCCTCCGGATAATGTGGCTCTAGGAAATGGAATCATTGAAAAAGAAATCTGGACTTCACTGATCCATCCATAGCACCGAGCAAGGAGGTGATGAAATACTAATTTCTTTCCTTAAATAATCCTGAGCCTCCCAATAGGGATGGACCAAAAGTAACAGTCTGCCCATTTCTCTACTTCTCCACTGATGTAACTATATTTTATCTTTGAATATGAAATTCAGTTTAATAATCACATGCTATTTTGAATATTTTTTATTTTGGAAAGCAATGGGACCCTGCACTCAAATTCAGATACTCTGTAAGTCTCTTAGCTTTAAAACCATGGATATTTTTTTCCACTAGATTTTTTCTTATCTAGTTTCAGTTTATCATGATAATGAATGAATGTAATTATATATGGAATTAAGACTGCAATAAGGGAGAGGGACAGAGGACTCTATGTAATGTAATTAGATAAAGTGTAATATTCTAATGTTCTTTTCTCACTGGATTGAGTAACTAATTATGTAATAAATATGAAATATATTCTAGTGAATATAAAATTTACTGATGAAAATTCCGAGATGATCTTTCTGAAATATAGAATCTATTAAAGTCCTGTAATGTTTATAAAGCAGTGCCTCCAGTCATAAATTCTAGTGCCATTAAGTTTTGTATTTATATTTTAGGCAGTAGTAGGAGGTTTTGCTGGGAAGGGGGTATAGTAAACATCCCAAATCATCCATGGTGATGGTATTAATGGATTAGGATACATTTTCAGATTAAAGTAGAAGTTTATCTACTATTTTGCCAATTTAAGAATAGTTTGTCAGTTTCTTTTTTTAAATTTTATTTATTTATTTGATAGAGAAAGTGAGAGAGCACAAGCAGGCAAAGCAGGAGAGGGAGAAGCAGTCTCCCCACTGAGCAGGGAGCCCAATGCAGGGCTTGATCCCAACACCCTGGGATCATGACCTGAGTGGTAGGCAGACACTTAAAGACTGAGCTACCCAGGTGCCCCATCAATTTCTTTTTAATTGCAAACCCTACATTGTGTAAGAGCCTACTAGAGAGACTAGGAATGCAAAAAGAACTTGTATTTGGGGGTGAGAAGGTACATATACTAGATTGAACCATACCCAATTGCTGTTTTGTAGGTCAAAAACAGTTTTATGTTGTCAGTTTCGTATGTTTCAACCTGATACCTGAGAGCTGATAATCCCAGACAACACATGGCTGGTGTCCAGTGTGTAGTGTGGACCTGTGTGTCGGAGGAAGTTGGGGATGGTCAGGAAGGCCCATGGGGAAGAGAGACTTTGAAGAAGGAGTACAGCCAAGTGGAGGAGAGACACATGTGAAAGGGTAGGGTAGGCTTTAACAGGACAACGAGTGGGAAATGATGAGCAAAACCACACTGTGTGCTGGCAAAGTTTTAGGTTAGGGAGTAGTTAGGAGATAAAGCTAAAAGAGAAGAGGGATCGGTACCTATGCAGACACAAATGCAGCATTCCTTTTTTTTTTTTTTCTTTTTAAGATTTTATTTATTTATTTGAAAGAGAGAAAGAGAGAGAGAGAAAGAGCTGGAGTTCAAGCAGCAGGGAGAGGGATGGGGGAAGGCAACTCCCCACTGAACAGGGAGCCTGATGTCGGATTTGATCCCAGGACCCTGAGATCATGACCTGAGCTGAAGGCAGACACTTAACTGACTGAGCCACCCAGGCGCCCCACAAATGTAGCATTCCTATAAGATGAGCAGAGTGGTTTATCCCTTATTTGAAGATGGCAAAAACAGAAGGATTGTATTTAATAGTTTTTTCCCAAGACCTAGAGATCATCATCAATATCAGGAAATAAGAAGAAACAAGTACCTTCCATAGTAGGTACCATGAAGAATAAAGGAACTGGGGTAGTAGAAAACAAAACTCAAAATTTACTTTGTAAAATGACACATTCCTTAGCAGTTATGTGGGAGAAGGAAGAACCATTAGCCCCTTTGGGGATTATTGGGCCTGTCTTTATCTAGAAGGCGTTGCAGGCTTGAATTACTTCTGCATCAAAACACTTCATCAGTAGGTGAAGTCTAAACTCTGACCCCCAGAGTGGCCTTCCCTGCTGCAGGCTCTGAGAGAGGCCAGCAGTGGGCCCCCATCTGTCCTGAGGGTGATGACCTCACTCTTGTGTGGTGCTGCTGGGCGGAACCTTCCCGGCAGCCTAGCGCCTCAGCACGGGACAAGACATGAGCCAGTGCATGAACATTGTAAAGGTGGGCAGCTCCTGAAACCCTTCAGGTAACTTCTAAGTGGTGTGGCAAGGCTTTGGAAATTTCCAGCATATGCTATCGTCTATAGATTCACTCCCTTTATACCTTTGTGACTGGTCTCCAGTCAGCCAAATTTTCTCCTGATGCATCTGTTCTCACCAACATCACTCCTCCCTGCTTCTAGACGCATGTATGTGTTTCTGTGGCTGTTCTTTCTCCTAAAATTACTGGCCTAAGCACCTGGTTCACAGGCCAACCCCAAAGTGTGAAAAGTTCACAAAATAGAAGAAAAAAGGGCAGAGCTGATTCAATTGTGATTAGGCCCCCAAGGTCTGAGCCCCTGTGGGTTCTAGAGAGATTTGTGAGGCTTTGTCTGGAGGCTGACATGCTCCCTTCCTAAAGCCAGGTCTCCATGTAGGTTCGTATGTGGTGAGACTGTGGCTTGCACACATCCCCAGCTGGACACTTGCGAAGCAAACTTTATGCTACCTATGTAACTGAGAAATTACGCAACGTTTACCCTCAAAGTGGCTTTGAGAAGGGCTGAGTGACCCTAATTTGTGGAAAACCGAACAGGGTCCAAGTCTCGGTGGGAAAATAATGGCCAAAGTGATCGTACAATACAAAACAAAAGAAAACTCAGCAACAGAGTCAACTCTCCTTCTCCAGGTGCTTTTTTAGTCCTCCCTCTGCTGTGTGTGGACCAAGGCTCACCAAGAGGACTGCAGCCAGGGGCCCATGTGGACTCTGGACTGAGGGAGATGGGGTACGAGGTACTTTTCTCCTTCGTGAGGGTGGTCTCAATCCTGTCCTCGGGGATCCCAGAAAAATTGTCAAGAAAAAGTTAGACATATTTTGCTGGCTCTTACACTCCAAAATAAAGCATGCTGAGTTAACCTAGAAAATGTATAGCAGGAGCACCTTGCCCAGTCGTTTTGGTGGCTGACTTGATTTCAGCTCAGGTCACCATCTCAGGGTCCTGGGATCAAGCCACTCATTGGGTTCCCTGCTTAGTGGGGAGTTGGTTTTAAGATTTTCTCTCCCTCTGTCTCTCCCCCCTAAAATAAAAAGTCAGAAAGAAAGAGAGAGAGAGAGAGAGAGAGAGAGAAAGAAAGAAAGAAAGAAAGAAAGAAAAAAATGTATACCTAACACCAATAATCCCTTAGAAAATGGATTTTCAGAGATGCCTGCATGGCTCAGTCCATTAAGCATCTGCCTTCAGCTCAGATCATGATCCCTGTGTCCTGGGATCAAGTCCCACATCGGGCTCCTTTCTCAGTGGGGAGCCTATTTCTCCCTCTGCCGGTAGCTCCCTCTGCTTGTGCTCATGCTCTCTCTAATAAATTAATTAAAAATTTTTTTAAAGGATGGCTTTTCAGCCTTACCATTGTATTCCACTCCCTCCACTTTATTGACATGTAATTGTACTCTGCTTATAAGTTACCTTATAATAGCTATTTGTTGTATTGTTAAGAAGTCATGTGTTGAACAGTTTTCCAGATTAGAAAAATTAGAGCTATGGGGAAAGTCCGTTGTGGGCTTGGCTCTTCGGTCCTGCCGTGTAGCCTGTTTACTTTTCTGTAGGGCAAAGTCTTCAGCTCACCAGTTGGGCTTTGGTTGTGTAACATCTTGGAAGAGGTTAGACACTCCGTTGATTTAAAGGCATTGACCTTGGTGATTTTGCACGGCTCCTGCACTAAATGTGGTTTTTGTCCCGGAAATGTGGGAACACGGAGTTGGCTGTACTTCCTAATGGCTTTTCCATCTGTCCACAGGAGCCCTCATTGGACGGGCTCTGCGGTGCAGCAGTGGTCTGGGGTGGAGGCGCCTGGAGCGGCAGGCTGAAGCCGGGAGTGTGAGCTGGCCTCTGTGCGCGCATGCGTGCTCTTCCTCGCACTGAAAACGAGTCCCCACAGAATGTCTGGGGAGGTCCCCCTCTTTGTATCATGTCTAGTGTGCAGAGGAAGAGGGGATGGAAATCTACTGCATCTGGGTCCCCATCAAGGGAAGTTAGAATTTGATTTTCTGCAAAATGTTGAGTAAAACAAGTGAAATGGCAGTGATGAAACATACATGTGGCGAAGTCAACCACTTGGAGACGGGTTCTATTTAAAACTCAACTGTAGCGATTTTGCCATTGCTGGAGGAGCTTTCCAGAGGCACCATTCCAGCAAGTGCACCTATTTATGTGCAAAGGGAAAGCGGTTCCACGCCCCAGGACTTGTATGGCACCGTGTTAAGGGAGAAAATAGGAAGAC